CCACACGCGCTTTTAGTCACCCAATTTTATCCCTCCTTTTTTGGCATTTAATTCCATAATCTTATCTCTTTTTTTTTGACATTTAACTCCCTGATCTTATCTCTTTTTTTTGGCACTCGATTAATTTTAAATCTTTATTTTATTTGCTTATCATGTTAACTTTTATATTATTTTATTTTATGAGATAATTTTTTTATAACGATGGATTTTATTTTAGTAAAATTGACTATGGTTAATCATTGAGACTTATGAATATGGAGAATCAATGTGTATTTTTCCAGTAATGAATAACCAACTTTTAGACAATGAATAATGTTATCCAATTATTGAAAGATGATTGATGTACAATATATTCATTTTATTGATGAATATACATGCGTAAAGTAATGCGTATTAAATGGTTAATAATGAACATGAATTTCATTGTTGTTTTCTGACCGATGATGTATTATCTTATTACGTTTTTATGATGAATATCGTACGTTAATTAATGAATAACGAGTTCTTATTGATGAATAATTAGACGATGTTTCAACTCTGAGGAAGAGGCTTTTGATGCTTATAATTCTAGCGCATTATTTTTTCAATAAAAAGGTTCAAAGATTAGAAAATGTCCAAATCTGGTGTTGTATATTGAAAACAATTTGCATGTAGCAAACAAGGAGTAAAAAATTCATGGGGTAGATGATATACAACAATGAATAATTATACCGAAATGATGAATACGGCAATTTTAACAATGAATAATTATACCAAACTGATGAATACGGTAATTTCAACAATAAATAATTATACCAAACTGATGAATAATACAAAGATCTACTAATTTACTAAAAAAATAATACTAGTTTACAAAACTGCTGAATAACCCTCTATATCAATGTCTACACTTATTGTGGTTTGGTCTTTTTGCATATTCAGATTTTTTGCTTCTTTCGGCTTTTGATTGTTGTTCTTCGCTCATGCTTCTTTCATATTCTGTCTGATATTCTTCGCTCATGCTACAATATGTTTACAAATTCCATGAATAACTTATCAGATGTGATAAATTTTTTAGTGTGTTTCTTAATATTAATGTATCAGATGTATCACAAACTTAATGAATGACTGTTCGATGAATTAATGAATAAATGTATATAGATGATGAATAATCTGGGATTATGAAATCGGAAAATTAATAATAATTGCTGACCCAGTGAATAACATCCCTTTACGGATGATTATCCCAAAATAAATTTTACAACAAATTATGATGAATACCAATTACCAAATTGATGAACAAATTTAACGAATAAATAACACATAGTTGTGATAAACGATGAATTCGGCAATTTCAACAATGAATAATTATTCCAAATTGATGAATAATACAAACATCTAGTAATTTACCAAAAAAAATACTACATAGTTATAGTAAACGATGAATCTGACAATTTCAACAATGAATAATTATATCAAACTGATGAATAATACAAAGATCTAGCAATTTACCAAAAAACAATACTACATAGTTATGGTAAACAATGAATCTGACAATTTCAGCAATGAATAATTATACAAAACTGATGAATAATACAAATATCTACTAATTTACCAAAAAAATAATACTACATAGTTATGGTAAACGATGAATTTGACAATTTCAACAATAAATAACTATAGCAACCTGATGAATAATACAAAAATCTACCAATTTCCCAGAAAAACAACATCGAATAGGAGAACAAAACTCTAAAATTGATGAACAAACATCGTCAATCGAGTGAATATACCTTACATCTACAGAACCCAAACAAAAAAAAAAAACACACCAATGGTTGAATATGAAGAAAACTTTAAACTTCATGAACAGATATGCATAATCGAATGCATGTACAGTAAATCTACAAAATCCATCAAAAAACGCATCAATAGTCTAAAAGATTAATAGTATTACCTTTGTTCATCTTCACTTTCCGAACTGCTTTTGTTCGGTTCAGATCCTCAATCGATGGTTTCTGCGTGGATGAATTTTGTTCATGTATTACCTTAAATCGCATCTTGAACATAGTATATTTCCACAATTTCTACTGGATTTGATGCACAATCTGATTCCGTCCCAAAAAATCTAGCCGACGAGAGGTTTTCTGGCCAAATCGCTGTAGAGAAAATTTAGTTTTTTAGTTTTTTTTTTGTTTGAGACGGATTGTGATGAATGGGGTAGAAGATGGATATGGTTAATGGCTGAAAATTATGAGGAAATGGTGGGATTTGAAATTCCAAAAATCACACAAAATGGGGAATTAAATGAGATTGCTGTAAATATTGAGAGATGTCCATTTTTAGCTCGCGTGAGACTCACACTAGGTACACCTTGCTCCCTATATTATAATTGGATTTCGAGTGCACGATGTCATGATAAAAAAAAAACGCAGTTTTGTGAAAAAGGGGGGCGTTGCGTGTTATAGGAATTGTGGGAACCCAACGTTTGTTTGTTTTCCTTAGACCAACAATGAACAATCCCATCATCACTAACGTCATAGTCTCTCTGTCTCTCCATTCTTATCCCAACTTGCTGGTTATCTATATACTATACTAAGGTAAAAATCAAAGAGAGAAATCTGAAGTTAAGGAGCACATGTCACATAGGATTTTATCCTATGTGGCATTTTCTTAATTTTCTGCATATAAAAATACACAAAACAAAACAATAAAAACAAAAACAAAAAAACGCAACTGAAAAAATCCGAACCCTATATTGATTCGACCAAATCCCTGCAAATCCGATGGACGGATTTCTTCTTCCTAAAAAAAAAACACAACTGAAAAAGAATTTTATATTAATAATTTATTAAAATAATTAAATAAGTCAGGCCAACATGAAACTTCTATAATTTACCTTCAAATATGGAATTGAGTTAAAATACTATGGTGATGAATTGATGTAGCGGGGCTAAAAAATCTAACTTTAATTCGAAAAAAAATGAGTAGGATAGATTTGACATTTGCGAAAGTGTCTAGAAATATATTAATGAAGAAAAAAAATAGGTAAATGATATTCTTTAAGGGTAAAAAAATAGTCCCACCCTCACATTTTAAATAAAATATTTTTGACAACGGGTAAGTTAATTAAAGATAAATTATTAGATAGGTAATGAGAAATAACTAAATCAAACGAACAAATGAGGCTAAAAAATAAAAAATGAAGGAAAGTGAGAATGCATCATATTTAAAAAAGAAAATAATAAAATAAAAACACTGAAATCAAAAGTCACACCGAAACAAGGAATGAAGGTCCTGATATCCAAGTTTTTAAATTTTTTTAATTTTCTTATTAAAAAATTGGATGGCCTCTACAACAAGTTAGGGTTGTTATTTCTGTAGTAACCGTTCCTTGTCATAAACCTTTTCAAAAAAAAATAAAATTCCTTATCATAATTTCTTAATCACCCTAGCCGACCTTTTCACCCAGACTACCAATGTAGTCTATCAAGAAATATTGCAAGATATGTAATTATTTAATTCAAAGTTATTTTTTTTTTAAATTTCTTAACAATCGTTTTTGCGCTAAATAAATTATCGGTGTATTCGTTTGGTAAAGTGTTATCGATGTTTGTGTTTTATATTTTTTTAATAAATTCATTATATTTTTTATAAAAATACAAAAATTTTATACAAATATTAACATTTTTTTGATTTATTTATGTAGTAATATCTATGTATATGTACTCCCCGTCCATCGGACGGGTTTAACACCTAGTGTTATATTCGTTCTAAAATAACTCTTCATTTTCAATAATTTTTAAATTATATTAAAATCAAAATTTAAATTAGACAATGATAAATAACTGCACTGAGGAAAAGGTCACAAAATCTATCATTCCTTTTACTATTGCATAAATTTAAATGTATGCTGCGTGTTCACGTGATTTGTGTTTCAAGGGTACTGTATGTTCACAAGTTACAAGAACTCCCCCTCAAGAGCAATGGCAACTTCGTTTAATTTTCATTTTCAAGTTTTAAACAAAATTATATATATATATATATATATATTGGTGATATTGAGAACCATTAAAAATAGGTAAATCTACGCCCACTGCAATATCTTTCAAATCACGACGGAAGATAAACTACTCTAGGTAATAGAGATTCTAATTGGTAAAAACTATTCTAATTGATTTGAATAGTTTTTGCGTTCCTTTCTTCTTCTGTCTTTTTTTTTTTTTTTTTGTTCAACCCCTAGTTCACCTTTATTTTCCTTTTCACAAGCTAACAATTAATTTTAACTTTTTGCATTGATAAATACAAGTTATTTCTATTTATAATGTAATTTCCATTTTTTATTTCTTAAGTAATTTATCTTAAATTTTTTTTCTTCCACCAGTATTCTTTTATTGATGAAAATTACTTTTCATTATTTTGGATAAAAGAGAGACACACATATATATGCAACTTTCGTCCGTGCTCTCTCTCTCTATATACACACACACACATTAAATAGTTTTATTAGTAAGAAAATAACAAATCACAGGCAATAGATCTTCTTTATTTATGTAAATTGCGGATAAATATTTATCTTGCTATTTGTCCAAAGTTTTATCTTCAAGGCACATCACTTGAACTTCCCACTACTTATTCCTTTATCAACTATTTTCACTTTTCCTATTTTAGCTAATTTATATCAATTTTGTCATGCCCTAAACCACTCTCACAAATTTTATTTTATTTTTTGTTTATTTTTGCATATTGTAGGGTGTTCATCGGCGACAATTATGATAAATCCTCCTCGTTCATAGTAGGCATTTTGATAAGTGGGAGAGATGGCCGAAAGATTTAAGGTTACTCCATGTCACGGTTAGTAATTCGTTCTAACGCAATGAAGCACGCTGTTATGTTGTCGCAACACATTTGCGTTAGGGCCGAAATTTGGAGCCCGAAGAATTCGAAACATTAAAGCCCATTACCTGAACAAAGAAAGCCCAATAATAAAATTTCAAAAACCAGATGGACTGAATTATTAAAAATCAACACACATACTGGGTTCCTCCCTCCTGTTTCTCCCGCTTCAAACTTTCCTCTTCCTCCAAATTATACTACAGTCTCTGGGACTCTCTGCTACGCAATCCCCAAATTTTCAAAATTTAAATTCAGCCGTGTTCTCTCTCTCTCTCTCTCAAATTGTTACCGGTTTCGTAACCCCCAAATTCTGAATATTACTCGATTTTTTAATTTTTTTTTTTTAAATTTTTTTAAGCTAGGGTTTTTTGCTTTCATTTTCGTCGTCCTAAAATCTCTGCTAAAACCCTAGCTCCAATGGAGTGGAATCCACAGACGTTGCAGTTTCTCTCCGATTGCTTCCTCAATACGCTCTCTCCCCTGCCTGAACCCCGTCGCCGAGCCGAATCTGCTCTCTCCGACGCCGCCGATAAGCCTAACTTCGCTCTCGCTGTTCTCCGCCTCGTCGCCGAGCCTTCCGTCGACGAACAGATCCGTCAAGCCGCCGCCGTTACTTTCAAGAACCACCTCAAGTCCCGCTGGGTCCCCGCTGGTTCCGATGCCAATGACTCCAACGCCGCATCGGTTTTGATCCCCGACGCCGAGAAGGCACAAATTAAAGCTCTGATTGTTTCCTTGATGGTTAATTCCAGCCCCAGGATTCAAGCGCAGTTGAGCGAAGCCCTTGCAGTCATCGGTAAGCATGATTTCCCTCAACTCTGGCCCACTTTGTTGCCGGAGCTTGTTGACAGCCTGGACAGGTTAAGCCTGGCCAACGATTACGCCTCCGTTAATGGGGCTTTAGTTGCTGTCAGTTCTCTCTTCGAGAAGTTTCGCTTCCAGTTTAAAACCAACGAGTTGCTTTTTGATTTAAAGTACTGTCTTGATAATTTCGCCAAGCCCTTATTATTAGTGTTTCAGAGAACCGCCGCCTTATTAGATCAGGCCGCTGCTTCCGTCCCAGCTAATCCCGCTGCCCTTAAGCTCTACATAGACTCCCAGCGGCTGTGCTGTGAGATCTTTTATTCGCTTAATTTTCAGGACTTGCCGGAATTTTTTGAGGATCATATGAGTGAGTGGATGAGTGAGTTTAGAAAGTACTTGACTGTTAAGTATCCGGCTTTGGAGGACGTTGGGAATGATGGGATGGCTGTTGTTGACGAACTGCGAGCAGCTGTTTGTGAGAATATCAGTCTTTATATGGAGAAAGAGGAGGAGCTCTTTCAGGTTTATTTGGGCGGGTTCGTGGAGGCTGTTTGGGGCCTTCTTCTCCTTGCTTCTCCCTCTCCCAGTAGGGAAAAGTTGACAGTGACTGCAATTAAATTTCTTACCACAGTTAGCACAAGCGTGCACCATGCATTGTTTGGCAGCGATGCAGTTTTGCAGCAGATTGTTCAGGGTGTAGTTATCCCCAACGTGATGTTGAGGGACGAGGAAGAGGAGTTGTTTGACATGAACTATGTAGAGTTTATTAGTAGGGATATGGAAGGCAGCGATATGGACACCAGGAGGAGGGTCGCCTGTGAGCTTCTTAAAGGGATGGGTGTTCACTATAAAGAAAAAGTTACCCAGCGAATCTCGGCTGAAATACAGGGTTGTTTGGATTATTTCAGTAAGAATCCTGATGCGAACTGGAAGCACAAGGATTGTGCCATCTATCTGGTCGTGTCACTTGCTACGAGGAAAGCAGGTGGGGCTTCGTTTAGTACTGATTTAGTTGATGTGGAGAGTTTCTTTGCATCGGTGATTGTTCCAGAGCTGCGAAGTCCTGATGTGAATGCTTCTCCTATGTTGAAAGCTGGTGCGTTGAAGTTTTTCACTATGTTTAGGAATCAGATACCGAAACCTATTGCGCTGGCTTTGCTTCCTGACGTGGTGCGGTTCCTTAATTCGGAGTCGAATGTGGTTCATTCTTATGCAGCAACCTGCATTGAGAAACTCTTGCTGGTTAAAGATGATAGCAAGCCAAGGTACACAGCTGCAGATATTGGCCCATTTTTTCAGCCATTAGTGACTAACCTATTTGCCGCCCTGAAGAAACAAGAATCTGAGGAAAATCAGTATGTGATGAAGTGTATCATGAGGGTTCTTGGCGTGGCTGAGATCCCACTGATCGATGCTTTTACTTGCATCAACGAATTAAGTTTGATTCTTCGAAGGGTTTGTCAGGATCCTAAGAGCCAGGTATTCAATCACTATCTGTTTGAATCCTTGGCTGCTCTCATTAGGCGAGCTTCCCAGACGGACTCGTCTGCCATTTCTTCTCTTGAAGCCGGCTTATTCCCAAGCATTGAGATCATCTTAAGCCAAGGCATCAGCGAATTCTTCCCGTACGCATTCCAGCTGTTGGCACAGCTAGTGGAGCTAACTCACAATCTTCAAAATTATGCCCCGATTTTTGAGATCCTTCTGAGTCCCGATTTATGGAGCAAATCGGCTAATGTTCCAGCTCTCGTTTATCTGCTCCAGGCTTTCCTTCGAAGGTCGCCCGAGGAGATGATGGTTCAACAGGGAAAGTTAAAGAACGTTCTTGGGATATTTTCTGGTCTTGTTTCAGTTTCGAGTTCAGATGCACAGGGGTTTTACGTGCTGAATACCGTGATCGAAAATGTTGGCTACGATGCAATCCAACCCCATCTTACTGAGATTTGGGTTACACTGTTTAACAGGCTGCGGGGAAACCTCCGTCAAGCGAAGTTTGTTAAGAATCTTGTGATATTCATGTCTCTGTTTCTTATTAGATTTGGTGCAGATAAACTTGTGGCTTCAGTAAATGCTGTTCAAAACAATTTATTTCATACCATTTTGGAACAGTTCTGGATACCTAATCTTGAAAAAATCACGGGTTTTATTGAACTTAAGCTTACTTCAGTTGCTTCAACCAGACTTATCCGTGAAACTCCAAGTATTTGGGAATCTGGGCTTGCAGGGAAACTGCTGAACAGCATTATCACTCTTGTTTCGCGGTCCGAGCAGCAGAGAGCTGTTGAGGATGAATTGGAAGTTCCTGATTTTGGGGAAACCTCCACGGGTTATAATGCTAGCTTTGCTCGTCTTTACAATGTTGGGAAGAAAGAAGATGATCCTTTGAAGGAAATTAAGGATCCTAAGCAGTTTCTGGTCGCTTCCTTGAAGGAATTACGTGATGCTTCTCCTGGGATGTTTAACTCCATAAAAAGTAGTCTTGATCAAGCTAATCAGGCTGCTTTCTATCAACTCTGCGCAGCGTTTAACATGCCTTTATCTTGAGGGAGAGCTCTCTGCGGTATGATTCTCCACTTGAATAAAAGTATTTGTGTCTTACGTCTTGAGGTTCGTTTGTGATAGCCTGTTAAACGAAAGGATTCTGTTTTTTTCGAAAGAGAAAATGGAGGTGGGTGACCTTTAGTTAAAATTGGCCTGTAATTTTGATTCTGTTATGCCAACAGATGTTTTAGAATGGATGAAGAAAGAGATAAGGGAACATGTAGATAATTCTCAGTCGGCCTGAAATTTTGTTCGTGTTATGTTAACAAATGATTTGGGACTAGGTGAAGAGAGAGAAAGGAACATAAAGATAACTTTCAGAAAAGAAGGATAATAATACATTCCTCTGGTGGGAGGGAATTTTAAGTGGCGTAATTTTTTTTGACGAACATGTCTTGAGTTCCATTCTTGTCCAAGGTAGTTTAATATCTACTTTCTTTCTTTAGGGAGTTAGTTGGAAAATTTGATAGAAGTACTTTGAACCGTGAACTTTCATCAAAGATTTTCAATTGTTGTTATTGTGGCTAACTGTTTGCCCACAGCTGTTACTGATGATGCCTTTTGTGTCAATAATAGTTCATTGTCCATCTTTAGAACTCTTGTTGCATGTTTCCCAATGTCGATTTACAATTTTGCGCAGAAAAGTTGTGATTAGCATGACTCCTGTTAAGCAAGTGTGGTACGGACTTCTGTATGTTTATCAATGGATGTTCGGATTTAGTATTGAATTTTGTGTCTCCTCTTGTTCATCATGGGTCTTAACCTCTATTGTTTGTTTTTTTCCCTGACAGTGTTGAAGTTTACAAAATGCCAACATTCATGCTGAAGTTGGTGAGCCCGTGCGATGTCGACCATTTATTGACGTGGTTGAACTTGCAAAGAAAGCTACAGAGAAGGATGTCAGGCAATTTTTTGTGTAGTCTTGAGTCTGGTGTTTAAGTAGAGTGCACCGTGGAGGGAGTTTGGTTTCATATGCAATTTTTCTGGGAATTTGATGTGAGTCCATTTTGGCAATCTGTGTAGTAGTATCACTGGTCTTACTCTTTAAGGTTGAGGGGAAAGGAAGAAGGGACTTTGTTTCTTGAGAGGATTAAATGGTGTAAAACAGCAAAAATTTATGATTTGGGATTTTGGCATGAATCAAATTGTGCATTTCTTTTCTCTAAAAAAGCATTTTCATCATTTGGAGAATGGGGTATTTTGAGTTGCTTGAGATTGGGTCAACTCCAGACTGTTTTGTGATAAATTACAGCCCAAGCCCACGAATTAGAATTAATCCCCCTAAATAATTTTATTTTATTTTATTTTTTAATAAATACTAGGTTAGTATTATTACCAAGTTCTTAGTCGATGTTTGATAATTAACCTAGACAAGCATCCTAATTATCTCTATACACCATAACGCCAATTTTTGTTTGACAAACAGTCTTGATTATGGTCCTGTATTAAGTTTCAAGAAACATCCCCCCCATGCCATAATGATGGGACTAGTGAATATTGAGGACGCTGCAATCTGCATCAATGCAGATGCATAGTCGCGAAAAAAAGAAAAAGGAAAAAGATTATAAAGTTTTTTTTTTCCCAAAAAAATTAAATGTAATAAAGTTTATTATTATTTTTTTTTGTTTTGTTTTTCCCCAAAGCGCACATACTAGTGTTTGAGACATGTTCATCAGTCTCGACTCTCGATCAAACTTTCATCATCTGAAACGTTACAAAGTTGGGAAGCGTCGTTCAAAAAACCAAACCGTTTGTTTTAGAGTAGGATTGGTTACAAGACCAAAAGAGTTAAAGTTGATTTCATTAAAAAAGAATCCAACAACAAAAAGAAAGAAAAAGAGTTTCATTAATGCTCACGTCATGCTAACGCGTGAAATGAAGAGACTGTTTCTATTATTCGCATTGTTGTCATCACTATTCAATACTACATTACAACACAATTTAAGGATAAAGTATTGAGTAATGATTGGTATAACCAAAAATGATAAGGAAATGATCTCACCCATCTATTATTAAAACTTTCCAAACAAGTTTATGCATTTTAGGTTAGGACATAATTAAGATTTTGACACATCATTCCCCGTCTGTTTTCTTTGTTATTTTTTCCTTGTACACTACTCTAAAGTATTTGAGAGATGAAGCGCCAAAACAACCACTAAGCAAATTGAATATATAATCAAGTGCATCGACAAATCGGAGGATTCCGATAACGATAATAAAATCTTGTTCTTATTTTTCTTCTTAAAAAATGAAGATTACATTTTTTGAGATTCCGATAACGATAATAAAATCACCTTCTTTTTTGCATGCGCCTCCTTAGCATAGTTACGAAAAATTAAGGAAAGAAAAGAGAAAACTATGATCATCACAATAGCAAAACCCAGGACTCAATGAATGGAAAAGGTGATTAGTATTTTAATTTTGTGTGTCCAAATCAAAACATCCTCAGATTCACTAATTTTTACTATACCTTAATTACCTCTTTAAATTTATTATTATCAGCTTTGGATATAGTAATTAGTACTACTTACTTCAATTTTTATTAATTAATTAATTAATTCAGATGAGCGAGGGGTGTCTCTCTCGCCCACTAATGTATGCCGGCCGTCTCAATTTATACTATTGTCTATTGGTGAGAAGAAGTGACCAAAGGTTCCTAGTCAATTACTTTACGGACTTGTACATATTTTTTCATCTTCCTACCTTCTAAAATAAAAATTTTATTCGTGGTAATATTTGAAATTAATAAACAAAAGTTTTACTTTGTTGATCGATAAGTGCAATAAAACATTTATAAATTAATGCTGTTGGGATTTCAAAAATTATTAACTTATAGATGTATTTATTCATAGATAAATTAACAATTAGTTAATAAAATTTTTAGAGATATAATAATTAGTGTCATTAAAAAAAGTAAAAATATGACTTAGGATGAAAATTATGATGATCTAGTGTTTTTGAAACCGATCAACGAAAAGAAAAAAAAAACATCGAATGCAGTAGTAGCTCTTTAAAATTTTTTGTTGCAATATAGAAAATCTACACAAGAACTTTGAAAGCAACGGAAAAATATCAAAGATGAATCTCTTTAGATGTAAATTACAAGAAATATATATATATATATATATATATATGTTTTAAGTTATTATTAATTTATGAAATTGATGAAACCTATATTTACATTGAAATTTTTCAAAAAATTATTATTTTATCCATTGTCTTTATTTTTTGTACTGATTGTAAAATTAGAACCAAAGAAAAATATTAATTAATAAATATTATTAATTTATTGATTATTAATTTATAAATGTTCTATTGTATAACTAGAGAAAAGAGAAAGTCTTGATAATCAAGAGATTAATGGAGTACTATTATTATTATGCTTTGATAATGCTTGGTAAAGTAATTATGATTTGGGCCAAGATTTGTGATTTGGAATCCACTGTCTTTTTCATTTTGGTTTGGAACTTTTTCCACTTTAATATGGAAGGGGATATGTTTTTTTGATAAATATATAGAATGATTCCCCCACTCGTGCGTATGTGATTATGATCCTAAGACCAACATAGAATATCTTATCAATCCCTCAAATTTTATTAATTGAAAAGAAAAAAAAAACTCCAAACAGAATATCACAATCTATGATATTGCACTGTTGGGCACCATCGAATTTCATTTTTGTCTCTTCAAAGTTGAAATGACTCGTCTTTCTTTTTCATGCAACAAGGCATTATACTCTCCCCTTTTGACTCCTCTACATGTAGCCCGTTTTTAAAATCCGAAACCATGCAACAATTATATTGAACTCCATTCACACACATACATCTATATGCAGTGACGGAACAAGAACTTTCAAATCGCAGGATCAAAAATACAATTATTCAATCGTCACCAGAAGGTCAAACTGAAAAAACTTTCATCTAACAAACACCTTTCTAAACAAAAATCCGCTCAAATTTGGCCGGCCAGAGGATCGATCGACCACCCTGACCTCCTTGTTCCGTCATTGTTTGCATGCATTTCCCTTCTCTCCCGATATGTGAACAATCGTCGTAACTAATAAAAAAGAGTAAACGGTAAGGTGCAATCATTTAATAGTGAGAATGAACCAAACTTCGAGTGAAATTCTGACTGACCTCTTAAGAGTAAATAGTTTGGAACTAAAATTAAGTACATGTCCAAATAATGAGACTAAAACCAAACAGTTTAATAGTTTTGAACTAATGTACTAACTCTTTGTAAATCATGAGATAACATATAGGTTTACCCCTTTCTTAAACAGCATGTGGTGATTGGTAATTTGCACAAACGTATAATATAGTAGGAAGTTGAGTTAATTAGGTGTTCCCTTTATCATTGTATATTCATGTTTAAAAAATAACATAAATTTAGTGAATGATTGAGAAAGTATAACAACTTTTAAGATTGATTAAATGGCAATTAATTTTACTGATAAAAATTAAGGATCAGTAAACCTGAAAATAAAACTTGTACTTTAATGTGCTGGAATTTGTTATGCCTTACATGTGGTTTCTCTCATCACCAATATTTTAATTTAGTTTGTATTGAAATGTGAAAATGGTGAAACATGCTTCTCGTGAGATTCTGACGGTTACCCATTTCACTTCAGAGGATAGATGATTTTTATCGGTAAACTGAGTAATAAACGGAGAGACTTTAGAATGGATAATAATTGGAGAAATTGAGAGTTGAAGGAGATGGGAGTTATAGTTGATAATCTGATTCAACAATACAATGGAAGAAAACATACTCAAGTTCATCCATTCTTTTCTCATCAGCATGGTTATTGATTTCAGATTTCACCAAAAAATCCACTATTCAGTATATTCATAGCCTTCTTTTCAAGCTCACGCCCCACACAATCAAAACATAACATTTAGGTAGCCCAGAATACAACGGAATCTGGGATTTGAACCCCATGTGCCGTCTTTAATCTCGGGATCGACTCCATAATTGGTTTCATCAGGCCGATTGCTCTTCATCCCCGTCGATCGCTTCCATAAGTCGCTAAGGAATCTGATGAAGCAAGACTGGTACGGCAGGATGAACTGATGGATGGTGGTGGTGGTGGTGGTGGGTTGGTGGCGGCGGCAGCGGGGTGAGAGGAAGAGAAATGGGTTGGGTTTTTTTGAGTTATTATGTTTTGGGGGTTTGTTTTAATTTTTTAACAATTAAAATCTAAATAAAAAACTTTATGGCCCCGCATCAATCACTTTTTTAATTGTATTAAAATTTAATAAAAAATGAAAAATAAAAGAAAATTATTGGGGTCAAATTAGTGGACCCAACAGTTTCGGAAATTAATAAAAAATTAAAAACTTAACGTAAACAAAAATTTGACCATTAAGCCTTTAAAAATTCTGTTAAATTAACTAAACTTGATGACAAAAACATTTTAGGGGACTATTTTTGCTAATTAAAATTTTATGACGACTCGATCTTGTTACTCCCAAAAGTTGGGGGATATTTTAGTCTTTGCTTCTTATTTACTAAAAGAAGAGTGTCTATTTATTGCAAATTCATCCTCATACATTTGAATTCAGTGCATCTCGATCCCCAATTCCTATTCACAATCAAAATATATTTATTATACAACTAAATTAAATAAAGCATTTGATAATACATGAATAATGATATCGTTAGAGAAAAATTTAGTATCCAAGGCTACTTTTTAGTAACTTAGGCAACATTATCCTCACAATTGAAAATTCGTAAATGAGTATGAGAAGGAGATTGCCCAAATTACAAAAGTTAGCTCGGAATACTAAAAGCGTATACAATATAATTGAAATTTTTATTGCCAATGAACCATAAAAAAAAAAAAAGAAGCTGCTATAATTTCCAATATTTGGTATGACAATAGGGATAGAGCATTTCATTTGGATAAAAAAAAGTTAAAAAATTAGCCAAGGAAGAAAATAAAGTTACAATATAAAATCCCTCTCTTAGCGATAAATAAGTATTACTATTTAGAAAGAAAAATAAAAAATGGGATGGGGGCAAATTCAATGTAGGAGATAGAATAGATGATGATGAACCCTTTTTGTTTTGTAGTTTACCGATTGATTACTCTCACTCCAACTCACCTTTACTCACTCACTCACTTTGGTCCATCAAACCAACTCAGTTCAGTTTCAGTTCAGTTTGTGTTGAGGAGAATTTTCATTTACTAGTCATCACACACATTGTGTTGTGGTACCTTTATTTTAGTAAGCAAAGGGAAAAAAAAAGGACTGTTCTTTCTTTCTTACTAAATTTCCCAAATAAATCATTCATTATAAGGTCTCAATTAAGGGAGAGATATGGAATTGAATGATCCATTAATAATCATCATTGATTCCTGATTAACTACTGATTGATGGATGGATTACTGACCAGTTTTTTTTGGGGGGTTTGTTTTGGTGATTTATGATAACAGCTGTTTTGGGAGGGAAGGAAAGAAAGGTGGTATTTGCTGTTAGTATTGGTTTTGTGTGGAGAGGAAAGACAAAATCTTGGAGAGGGGTTTTGTAACTGAAAAGTAAGAGAAAAAACAAAAGCAGAAAGAAGGGAAAAAAGGAGAGGTTTTTTTTTCTCAGCTCATCATCAGCAGCTGATCAGCATCATCATCATCATCACAATTCTCACTCTCTTTCACACATAATAAGCACATACATATTAAACTGTTGAGTGATGAATGGATAACGGAAGCCGGATTGTTTTTGGAACTATTATTGAATCAAAAATTGATGATGAAATTAAATTGGGGTAGGTTGGACTGCGTGAGGTGAGCTAATATCAGGATTTTTCTTCTTCAAGTTTTCATCCTTTTTTTCTCCTTACCCTTTTGTTTTTTTCTTGCTGTTTCCTCTGGGCTTCTATCCCTCCTTTTCCTTCTTTTTCTCCTTTCTGTTTTACTATCTGGTAACTTGTTCTGAGTTTTGGGGGGGTGGTCATTGTTCCTGCCTTTTAAGTACGTCAATGGCTGGTGCTGGTAATGGTCTTAGAGGCGGTGTTGCCTCTGCTGTTGGTGCAGGTGCAGCCTCTCCTGATACAGGTGAGCTATTGGTCTTTTCCATTTGTGGAAAAAAAAGCTTTTTTTCTTTTCTTTTTTAATATAATCGTTATGTTTGTTGGGAACACCAATGCGGCTGGCTGGCTGAGACAGTTTTGTAATTTATATGTTGATCAAGCCTTTAAAAAAAGTTCAACTTGTTAGCTCTATCAAATATTAAGGCCAAAATTTGCTTCAATTCATGCAAGAATTCAAAACCATAGGGCAGGGGGATGAAGGCCACATAAAAGCAGAATTTTGTTTAATTAGCCCCCTTTTGAATGACAATTTTATCTCTTGTTTAATCTCTGAGATTGTTGCAATAGATGATCATTTGATTTCTCCTGATCATGAGGTCTTATTGATTGGCTCAATTTCTTTTCTTCTTCTTTTGGGAAAGGGCAAGGAGGAAGAAGTGATGATATGTACACACAGCTTTGGAAGGCTTGTGCAGGTCCCCTTGTTGATGTCCCTTGTGTTGGGGATCCAGTTTTCTATTTTCCCCAGGGTCACATGGAACAAGTAAGCCTAAACCATGTGTTTTCTGATTGCTCTTTTTTCAAATGTAATTTCATTGCATTAGAAACATATGTTTGTAATCCTATCATGTTTTCTGTTTTCAGTTAGAGGCTTCAATGAATCAGGAACTCAATCAACAGATACCGATGTTCAATCTGCCATCTAAGATCCTGTGCAAAGTAGTTAATGTGCATTTGCTGGTAAACAAAATTGGGTTTTTCATTTCCTTAAATTGATATCTTAATTAATCTCTATCTGTTTATTTAGTATTTTCTTTGTTTATATCGATTCTATTACTTTGTAGGCAGAAGCTGAGACTGATGAAGTCTATGCTCAGATCACTCTAGTTCCGGAGATGGATGTGAGCAATTTGTATTCACTCTTTTTGCAGTGTTTTTATGCCTTTTAAATGTGATTCTACACCAGTATTATGTTTATTTTGCATTCTTTTGACTGTGTGTATGTATTGCAGGAAAAAGAACCGTCTAGCCCAATTCCATGTGCGCCTGAACCACCAAACGAAACTGTTTATTCATTTTGCAAGATTTTAACAGCGTCCGACACTAGTACACATGGCGGTTTTTCAGTCCTCCGGAAGCATGCCACCGAATGCTTACCTGCACTGGTATTTATCTGTTTCATTTAATTAGCCTCCTTACCTGTGCATCTCATGAATTTCGTATACGACAGTGACACAATCACATGTTGATTTTTTATCGCTCTATGTTGGGTCCCCCTTAGGCGGCGCATATGTCGCCATTATGGTCAGTCTTAACACATATTTCATTAAAGTTTCAGATTATAATGAGCTAAGGCAAGGCGCGATAATAAGCATATATAAGCAGCTGTATTATAGTAAATAATTAGATTTTCCAGAAAGAGTAGAAATGTTATTCTTAAATAAGTTTTGAGGTATGCATGTCATGATGTTTCAGGATATGACGCAAGCAACCCCAAGCCAAGATTTGGTTGCTAAAGATTTGCATGGATACGAGTGGCGATTCAAACACATTTTCAGGGGTAAGGTTTCTAAAAGCATATTCATATTAGTGATGCTGTAACTTGGTGGGTTTTTCACTGAAATTGACAAAATTATCTATTGTTTCCCAATTAGGCCAACCTCGCAGACATTTGCTCACCACTGGTTGGAGCACATTTGTAACTTCCAAGAGATTAGTTGCAGGGGATGCTTTTGTTTTCCTTAGGTAAGTTATCAGTCTTTTCCTCTCTATTCCAAGCTGAGTTTTTCAACATTACTTCTGTGCTAAAGCTGTAGAATTTGCGGATCATGAAACATTGCAGGGGTGGCAATGGAGAATTGCGTGTTGGTGTTCGCCGTCATGCTCGCCAGCCGAGCCCGATGCCTCCATCTGTCATCTCGAGCCAGAGCATGCACTTGGGTGTGCTTGCTACTGTATCTCATGCAATTATGACGCGAACCAGGTTTCTTGTATATTACAAGCCAAGGTTTGTAATTCTCTTTTTTCCATGCTAAATGTATCATAAAATTTGTATGCCAAGTCTTTAGCCACTTATGTCTGTGTTCCTGTTTGATTTTTAACAGGACAAGCCAATACATTATCAGATTGAACAAGTACTTGGAGTCTATTAATCATGGATTTTCAGTTGGGATGCGCTTCAAAATGAAATTTGAAGGCGAAGATTCTCCAGAGAGAAGGTCTCTACTTTTACCTTTTGTATCTATGTATATTTTTGTACATGTACTTACTTCTGAATTTAAAGCTAGAAGAGAAATATGTATTGATAGAGCACTGTGGCAGGAAAACCTCAGTTATTTTTTCATCTTTGTTCAGGTTTACAGGCACTATAGTTGGTGTTGGAGATGTATCGGAGCAGTGGCCGAATTCTAGTTGGCGCTCATTGAAGGTTGAAAGGCATCCTAAAGTCTATGCCATTCATCTGATTCCCTTGGAATTCGTGTCCTACATATTTTTGTTTACAGGCACTACATCTTTTTTGTTTTTACCTTGCTTGTCTAAGGGGTATTGCCCTATATATATTTAGGTTCAATGGGATGAACCGGCTGTGATTAGAAGGCCGGAGAGGGTCTCTCCTTGGGAGATAGAGTCATTCGCAGCTGTTACGCCAACGACAGCAGATGTTACTGCTACTACTCAAACAGCTGTCATGACTAAGAACAAACGACCTAGGCCTCTTGATCTTCCAACTTCTGGTATATAACTAACTTCGTCCTAAATTATGTGGATATAGTACCCTTCTTCTTGTCATTTGGATAAAAATGTATGACGGGAACTTGCAGAAAACACTGCTTCCCCTGCTGTTTCGCCTTTCTGGTACCCAGGATCTACTCTGCCCGTTGAATCAAGCCACCTTGGAAACAATACTGAAGTCCAAAGCAATGAGAATCAAGTTTTGATATGGCCTCCTAGGCCTACAGCTCTCACTAGCTTCCAGCACATTGGAACTAGGCCTACTCTTGCTAATAGCTCGTTTGATGGCCTGATCAGGAACTCCCCTGTTTCGTCAAGAGCAAGTGATAATGGAAATGTACACGACCAATTTGGAAGGGTTAAAAAGCAGGAGCATAGTTCTCCTAGTTGCAGATTGTTTGGCATTGATTTGAGAAACAACTTAAATAATCTGTTTCCCCTTGAGAAGGAATGGCCTCCAGTTTCTAATGTGGCAAACCGTGACAATAGCTCTTCTGCTCCTCTTGTTGTTGATGCTGCAGCATCTGATCATGATGACTTTTCCAGATCCTGCTGTGACAGGAAACAGTTTCATCATCAGCTGGAAGTGCTGCCACCAAAAGATGCTTACAACAAAAGGACGCGAACCAAGGTCTTAAGTGACCGACAATAATGATTTAGTTTATGTATTAACTCAATGAAAAGGATTTCTGATGTCATTCAGTTTATTGGTTTCCTTTTGCTATCGTGATCAGGTGCATATGCAAGGAGTTGCTGTTGGACGGGCAGTTGATGTGACTGCCTTGGGAAGTTATGACGATCTCATCGAGGAGCTGGAAAAATTGTTTGACCTTAAGGGAGAGCTAAGTCCCCGAAACAAATGGGAGGTCATTTATACTGACGATGAGGGTGACATGATGCTTGTGGGTGACGATCCATGGCAGTAAGTAAAGTCGGGAAAACCTTCTTCCCTGAAACTTTGCCCTTACAATGCGAGATATAACAAAAAAAAAAAAGAAGAGAGTAGGATTAGTAGCTCTTTTTGATGTGGGACTAGTACTTGTTTACTTTTTGTTTACTTTTTTCCATTTTTCCTGCAGGGAATTCTGCAAGATGGTTAGGAAGATATACATATGCTCAAGTGATGATGTGAAGAAAATGACAACTCAGGGTGGCGGAAAGCTCCCTAGTTTGTCGATTGTGGATGGTGAAGGGGCGGTTGTTGTAAGCTTAGGATCAGATTCAAAATCAGAATCTTGATAAGTTAGGAGTTCGGGGTCTTTTTTTGGTTTTTTCCCCCCTTAAAATGTAGGCGAGAAAAAAAGAAGCAGCTAAAGATAGATATTGTGATATGCATGAATGGTCTCGGTTTTTGTTATTGTTGGGAGGAACTAAGTTATAGGTCTGAGTAGTAGGGGGAGATAATGGGGGGTGTATATAGGTAGGTTATTAAGGGTGAATCCTACCTATATATACAAGTAATGCTGTAGGAAAGAAACTTTCAAAGATTGGCTTAATAATAGTTTTCAGTTTTGGAACTGAGAATGGTAGTATCTGGTTTGCTTGTTTTTCATGGATCATCAGAAGCATGTAAAAAGGTATTGAGATAGGTGTAGTAGTGGTTTGTGTGACTGAGGTTTTTGGTGAATGTTGAGAGAATAATGAGTGTAAGTGATGTTTGTGTGTTATGAATGACATGATAACTGATACTCAGGTTGTGAGTTGTGATGCAATATTCAATTGTCACACACCAAAATGATCAAAAACCATATGAGTCTGACCAAAACCACATCAAGTTGATTATCCCAAAAATGGGGGGGGGGGAGATTATGTTTATGCATCTCTTTATGAGATTTATTATATGAAAAAAGGTATGTTTATGCCTCTAGCAATTTCTATTACCCGTGGTTTTTGGGGGTTAAGTTTGATAGTACTGAAATGAGTACTTCTACAACTACTACTACTAACTAATAACGACTTTAATTAATAGCTCAAAATAGTTCAACGGAACTCACTTTCAGATATTCATACATGATCAACAAAAATAAAAAAAAAAAAAACCAAGAAATTTAAAGAATGATCTTTTAAAACAACAATAGAGAATGTTACATTCTCGACTCATCGGACGGACAACAAACATAATAACTAAGCAAAGGCAAAGAATGAAAGCGAAGAGAAGCCAGTAATCGATTTTTTTTATTTATTTTTATTTTTTTGGTTTTAATCAAAAATAAAAAAATAAAAATTAACAAGAAATGAGTTTCAAATAATTCTAGAAGCAGCTTGTTGGGCCGAAACTCCTTAAAAAGGAAACGGGCTCTCCATCTAATAGCCCGATCCATGTGGGTGGGTGGGTTTGGGGTGGACTGAATTTATAGTAGTATTTCTTCATCTTCTTCTTCTTCTGCTTCTTCTGCATTTTTTGTGCCCCTCACTAAGATTCAGAACTTGAAATTGTCTCAAATTCCTACTTCTTCCACCCCATTGTCCCCCAATTTGAAGTTACCTTTTGTTTTGGGTGATTGTTTTCAGTTCAGAATTCACCCCAACCCCCCAAGGAACGAACGCCAGATACATACAAAACAAAACAAAAATCAGTCAGATGATAAGCTAAGCATCAATGAGCCAGAGTTTTTAGCCGGTACGTACGTTTATTCGATTTGCTTATCTAGCTTGAAAGGGAGTTATTGATCCACTCATTTACACCGCCGCCTACCCTTCTGCCTTTGCGTTTTCCAAGTTCCCTTCTTGCCCCAAATATTCTTGCTTTTCAACTATATATGCATTCCCGGCCAACAAATTTATCTTTTGTAGTCTTGGAATCTAGTAAATGTATCATCACCTTTTCCAACATTTTGCTCTTTTTTTTTTTTCTTATTGTAGAATTGTTAATTCAGGTTTTGAGGTAGTGTGTGATGCTTTGCCACAAGCTGTATGATTAATCGTTCGAGTTCCCCTGCCGAATTTTTAGCTGTTTCTTTCTTGTTTACCATATTCTGCAGGATATAAAGGACAAGTATGGAGTTGCCGGAGCTGAGAAATCCGCCCCAAAATCAAATGTGATATTGTCCACAATCCAACTATTCAACATGAGGAAGAATGTTAGTGGCACCAAAGCTTCTGTCTTTGATTTCCTACTTACACTGTTATTATGGTGTATTTTTTCAGAGCAAGTTACTTTATTTGACCTGCCGCATAAAGGGTCCTGTGTCGATTTTTAGTTGTAACTTTATAGCTCTGTTATAGCTTTCAATCGTTCCCTAGTTACTAGGTAGTTTAAAAGGATTTGTTTTCTGTACTGCATTACAGTCTTGCAGATTTTTAATAATTTCCATCCAAAATTTACACTCAAATTACCCAACTGAGATGCTACGGATTTATGTTTGTTTCATCTTGATGGCCTTTCCCATTATAAAGATAGGGAATCAATATCTTTATCGTTTCTCAAGCAAGGAAGTTCTATTTCATGGAATAGACACTGAACTTTGCATTAGTTTTTCAGCATTTGAGCAAGGATAAATTAATTGTTCTCTGAATGCCTTTTGTTTGCTTTTCTTTCTGATTTCAGAATTTTCTACAAGACGAGGAAAGCCGCTTGGACTTGGCCCGGACTAAATGTAAGTATTTCCATGTTTCCAATGTTTTTATGCCTTTTACTTTTCCAGTTAGTACTTCTGTTGGCCTCCGCCTTTTAAAAAATTACTAATGCTGCTTATTCATTGCAGTTGCAAGTGTGCTTAAAAGGCATGGAGAATTAGCAGAACGGCTTTCCAGGTACTGTTTTCTGCAGTATATTATAATTTAAATAATTCATCGTGTTTTAGTCAATTTTTATTTTCTTCACAAATCATGGTTGTAAAATTTTGATGCTTAATCAGAAGGGGTACATTGGTATTTAGGAGTTCTATCGCACATTCTTCGCTCAGAGAAAAGAGCTAAGATTTAGGTTTTGTGGTTCTCTTTCTTCCACTGTATGTTTGGCCTGTTTAATAATAACATAGTAATCATAATTGAATCACATAAATGGATAATTTAAACTTTCCTTGCCCATATGCCTATTGCCTTTATGAGGATATATATAGCCTGTCTCGTCTACCTTTTGTTTCCCTAGATGTGAGGTTTCTACTGTATTTTGAACTGGCTGTTCCCTCTCGAGCCCCTACTTTGGTGTTACCCAGGATAATCCTGTTAGAATATGTCCTAAGAGGTTATGTTGACATCATTTATTCTATAGGCATGCTATTACCCCTGTCATGATGTTGAGTATCTTGGATATTCCTGATCAGTGTTCACTACTGATTTCCTCAATTCTGAGTTACAGGTTGCTGGGCTTTTGTAAAATATATGCATGAATTAGTTAGCCTTAAAACTTAGTCGATTTCTTGTTTAATCATTGCATAGCCTCGTGTTGTTTACAGATTTAGGATATTTACATGTCAAAGACATCCTAACTGTAGTCTCTAAGAGTAAGTTTTTGGAATGATTTCTCTTTGATAGGGACTCTGATAAGATGGTCTTTGAGCGTTTACAGAGAGAATTTGAAGCTGCTCGGGTTTCTCAGACACAAGGTGTGTTTGCCCGTAAATTTCATTTCTTTTTAGTGGTTTTTTCACTGTCCTTTTGATTCTCAAGTGTTCCAAAATTATTGACATAGTTTTTGTTGTATTACTGTAATCTCTGAGATGCTTTTTTCCTAAAATGATTTTAATTATGTGATTCATCAACAATCCATTATATTCCAACCAAGTTTGATCTGGGGCTCATGTGCATGCAGCCTTATCCTTTTAATTACAAGGAGGCTGTTTCCTTGGCGACCCAAGATACATATCGTCATTTGATGTTATCGATTTCTGGAAACTTCTCTAATGGAATAAGCACTGGAATTTAATTGATCCATTTTGGTCTAGTCCATTGTGGTCAAGAATGACTCTTCCAGCTCCGTTTGCAGTGGCCGAAAATTAACTCTGTGATTAGTACTGATTTTTTACAGCTGACTTAATCTCGTCGGATGCCTGAGAGCTTCTTTTGCAGTGCTTGCCATGTTATAATGCATAATTGCAGTTACTTTTGGGAAAATTGGTTCTGAACATTTTCCTGAACAATATCCTTTTACTTTTCTATTACACTATATGACTTTCTGTGTAACAAAGTTCCTTTATTGTGGTGGTACAATTTTGGGAACCTTGATGAAGTCAGCTCATTTGGATCCCTCTGATTTACACATGTTCTTACTCTTTTTTGGTTTCAAGTGTATGTGTAACTTCTTTACTGCAATAATTTCATTTAGTTTCTACACGGCCTTATTACACTCTTCTGACAAAAGTATGCCTCTGCTTCCCAGTTGATAGGATCCAGCATAAACATGAAAATCCTGGTGCATTATGATGAGTTTAAACCTTATCCATAATATTCTATGCTAAAAGCTGCCTACTTTCCAGTTTGATGGTTTGGCTTATGATGTCTGGTTTTCTTTCTTTCGAACCAATTCTCTTGTTTTCCGACTATGGATCTCTTTTCTAGGAATTGCATATTATTTAATTTTTTTTTTCTTAATAGTATTTATTTTTGTTTACTATTCAGAAATATGTTTAGATGGTGAGCAGTGGAATGATGGATTGTTGGCTACAATTAGGGAGCGGGTATGGCGCTTTCCTGTCATCTATTTGACTTTTGATCTCAAACTTTTATTTCGATTAATGAAAGAGAAATTCCTTCAGAGCAATATATATCGGTTTTGAATGTGTGTGTACCCATTGAGGAGGATTATGATAATGACAGGAGGTCTATTAAAAAGATACGCCATTATAATCAAGTACTGTAGTGGACAAATTTGTGCTCTAGCAATGATGCTTTATTCTTTTAACTGTTTTATATAGTGCAGTCTGAAATCAAAGCATTGACTGTCAACAATTTTGTTTAGCTCTTTGTTGCTTTGGTTTTAGAACGGGTAAAATTATAGAGTTGAGAATGGATTGCTGTTAACTATGCTGGTGATGTATTGCCTCCTGTATTGTAAATGTTATCTATCTGCATCTCTTTTAATAGTTAAGAATTTTCCACTTGGTGAACATTCAGGCGGTGATGAGTTGTATTTCTTATCGTGGTGGATAGATCCAGTCGTAAGTGTTAATGACTAATGAGAAGTTTTTATTGTATCAGGTTCATATGGAGGTTGAAAGGAAAACAATGCAATTACCTGGAGAAGTAAGCATGATGACTAATCAACTTCCTTTTCATGATAAAGTAACCTACAAAGTAGCTAACAAGGTAAAATTGTCCTGCCTAATTGTTTTTCATGATGTCCTATCAGTATCTGAATGCATAATAGCAGCCGCTTATTTTGTGTGTTAGACTTAGCGAATGTATGTTTGCTTTGGGCAATATCATTTCTTTGATCTGGAATTATTGTTTTTATAGTCGATTCATCTGGTCAGACATATCCCATCTTTTGAACCAGGTGATCTGCTGCTTGGGGGGAGCAAGAATTGGCATTCTGTACGAGACGTCGTTCGCAGGTAGATATAAATAGTCATTATTCGGGTGGAATCTCGGACGCGTATGTTATTCCCCTGAATTGCTGTGAGGTCTATCGTTGGAATTGAAGAACGCGGCACAGATGAAATGATTTTATTTGGTTTTCTCATTAATTGTTTCTGTTACTTTGCATCATAAATTCTGAATTTCTATTGAATGAACTGTTTGTTGATTATGCAATATTGTAGGAGAACCTTGCGAGGTGTTCCACTGCGTGCTTGAGAGCAAGTCCTTTCTTGAGAAGATGACTGTCGTTGAGCATACTGTGCCTTTTTTCTTGCCAATACGTGAAGCAGAAAATGAATTCCTTTCTTCTAATGCTATGGTAATATTTTTTTGGGCTGGTTTTTGCTGATGATTTAATATTTAATTACGTATTTGATTTTTGTTTGATGTGGGCTTTCCATGTTTGCACTCCAGAAATTCATAGATCATGTTGGAGAATTATTGCAGGCATTTGTTGATCGACGGGAACAGGTATGATTGTTTTTATTGAGAGCTTGTTGGTTTTTGTTTTGATATGTAGTGGTAGTAGAGTTAATTCAATTTGATTTATTTGGAATAAAAACTTTTGGGACACACAAATTTACGTCAAAATGTTGATTGTTAAATCTTTGATATTTGGACTTCGTTGGAGAAAATACTCACTCTTCCCTTTTGTTGTGGAAATAGTTTTTGTTTTCCACCACTTTATTGATGTCTAATGCAAGATGCCATTTTTAAACCCCTGGATGCATTTACTTGCCACTATGTATGCATACCTGAATTTGTTCACATTTTCCTTTTTTCGTATTACCAATGTTTAAGTCAACTGGTCCAATTCTTTTGCAGGTGCGCCTCATTAAGGAGCTGTACGGAAATCAAATTAAAGAGCTTTATAATAGTCTTCCGTACCACTTGGTTGAATTCGTCATTGATGATTACAATTGGTAAGTTGATTTATGCACTTTTCTGAAATTCTTCACATGTGCAGGGTATAACAAAAACAACGAATTGTGTCTGTAGAATAGTTTTATAACATTTCAGATGTGGCTTCTTTTCTGCAGTAAAGTGACTGTAAGTCTTAGATACGCGGATCTTGTGTCTATACTTCCAACTGCAGTTAGTGTGCTCGCATGGCCAAAGCAGAGTGATTCTCTCACAATGACGACGGTAATGAGCAGGAGGAGTACTAATAAGTTCGTTCCAGAACGGTTGTCTTATGCAGAGGACGCATTGAAAATAATGAGTTTACCAGAAGGTAATTATCATTGTTTTGTGGTGATAAATTAAGGTGGCAGTTTAATAAAAGGGAAAAGAAACGATTATTTTATTCTTCCCATGCTACAATTTATTTTGTTGGGATTAATTTGGAGCTTGTTTGGCCTGATCTTGTTATGTGTCTTGGTTCTATTTTCAGTCCTGCTTTCACATTTGAAAGACAAACTTTTTACATTTCAAATGAATTTGAAAATGGGCCAAAAGTTTAACCATAAAAAAAGAGCCAAAATACAATGTACAACAAGATCATAATCCAACAGGTCCCATTTTAGCTGAGCTGCTTGTCATCCAAAAATTTGCAAACAACTTACCAGAAAGGCATGATGATCTTCAGATGTCTTCTATATATGTGCATTGTTCTGTTTTTTTTAGGAATGAAAATCAACTGCAGCTCTTAGTGCATTCACATTGTTTCTCATCTGAAAGCGTCATAGTATATTTGTTCTTCTTTTTGGCCCAAAACCCCCTTGCAAATCCTAAGGGCCTGCAGTAAAGCTGCTTTCATTCTACATCTCATTTAAAATCATATTTTCCATAATCCAAGTGCCTCTTTTACCCTTTAAATACAACTTCTCTTTGTTTCAATCTAACTTGTAATATTTTCAAAAGAATAACAGAAAACAAAAGACACTGCTCAAATGTGGCGAACTATTATTAGCGTTGTGATGCTGACCATCTGACCATTGGTTCTTTTTCTTTATCTCTTTCAGCGTATGCAGAGATTGTTTTGAACCTTTCTCAAGCCCTCCAGGAGATATTTTCTCCTGATTCTTCTTCAGCGTAGCCGTATGTCTCTTACCCTTCGTCATTTGTATAGAATGCTGAGAAAATGTAGATAGAAAGGCAGTGTCAGGGAAAAACTTTAATTCATTTCGCAGTCAGAGGGGTGACGTCCATGTTCTTCTCAACTCACTTTTTTAATATGATTACAATGCTGTCTTAAGAGGAGAAGAAAACCTGCAACTTTTTTATTTTATTTTTTTTTGGGCGTTGAAATTGTCTCCAAAGGTTAGACTTTAAATTGCTCATTTGGCGTTTAGAGTGAACATGATGTTGTATTGTTATAAAGAGTGAAGGTTATTTTTGTTTGATATGCTACGCTTCTTGAATGGAACTAAATTTAAATGTTTCACAATTATCATCATCATTAATATGAGTATGCAATTTGAAACTTGGCTAGGATTGAAACCTTGGTTCGGGGGAGGTTTAGTTCCTTGTACCTAGGTTTCATGCGATCCTTAAAGTACTAGGTCAACCAAACCAATGATACATTAAGAGACAGAAATGTCCGGTTACAGCATAAACCGTGGTTGAGTCTGTAAAATATGGAGCTGGCTAGTTGATAGATAAGTCATAAGTTCCAGAATGACAGAAGCAGTGAAATTGGTTTGGGTTTGGCTTTTTGGGTGGGCGTTTAGGGCAAAACATAAACATCCTAGTCCATAGGAGGTGATTTCAATCATTGAAATCATTATGGACAAGAAATATATACATAATCTAGTGAAAGAGAAAGCAACTTTGGGTGTTGAAAGATTCCCATTGTGATTTGTATTTGTGTTTCTCATCCTCCCACTAATAATAGTAATAACTTTGAGTCGGTGATGTTAGCTTTGGGCGTCTTGCATTGCTAGAACAGCAGTAACAGAAGTTGTGAGTTGCGACTCCTCAGTACTTTATATGTTTCGAAATAATTGTTCTACTTTAATTTTAATTTTCGATATAACAAAATAAAAATTCAAATCAAACATTCATTGTGAGACACCAAGAGTAGAAAAACATACATAGTGTCCAATCTCTATCAAAACAGGTAAATGTTAGCAGCACCAAGAAAAGTATAAGCAGACAAAATAAAAAAAAAACATATCAAATCAGCTTTAGTTAATGACCTCTTTTATTGGGTAATTGATTTGCATGCGTGACCAAATTCTCTGTTCTCTGCTTTGACAATTTGGAATGGCATCTGCTGTTGTTTCTTCTCTTGGGTCTGAATCATGAATGTGTACTATCTATTTTTGACACCTTTGCATCTTCAACTCTGAAATTAACATCAATTTCAAAAAAAAAAAAAAAAAACACTCAGAAGTTTGCTAATGGTGCCCCTTCAGAAGAAGTGGTAAATAAGCTACCGGTTGGTTTTGTAGAGATACATAGTTGATAATTTGGTATATCTGGAATCCCAACAGATGGCCAGAATGTTGAGTTAATGAAAATCTGTAATCCAAAAAATAAACACAGCTATCCTCTCATACGGGGGTCGCTCTCTCATCTCCAATCCATCAAGTAGGGATCTTGTAACATTTAAGCATGGTGCCCCAACTGACCAAAGCTCTTAAGTCAATTGTCTTTTTTTTTTATTTCTTTCCTTTTCCCCTACCCCTTTGCAGAATGATAATCTGGAAATACTGGATCGTATTTTATGTTTAGGAATCAATATGTAATTATTTACGGCAAATTATCGATTGTTTTTTTTTGTTTTGTACATATGACTTAAGACTAACGATAATTTATAACTAACTATTTGGAGGCTTCAGTCACACGACATAAAACATGTTCATACTCCATATGAAGACGATAATCTAGCAAGATTGTGACAGTTGTGGGATTTCTATATAATTTTCGAAAGAAAAAAAAAAAAGGAAGAAGTGAATACCCTTTTGGTTTGTCGTCTCTGTGACAGTGACAAGGGCAGTATAATGTGAGAGTGCCAGTAAAACATAATGTTTTTCACCTTTCCTAGTTTTGTTTCTTTTTTCTCCATGTCGCTCGCTGTGGTTGAAAAGTAAATAATAATACTGGTACACAAAGACTTTTTAAAATTTCAATTGATTGGACTTGCATGGAGTCTTTTATATAATTACTGTGGATTTGAGAGATGTGGAATCCTAAGTCTTACTGTCTTACCTTATCATAATGGACTGAAACTCGTTAAGAACTGAACAACAACTTCCTTATTATTCCCGTCTCAAAGTAATTATCTTATTTATCGTAATACTTTTTACCATATAACAAATAAAACAAGTCTGGGATGTAATAGCATAACTATTTTGTACAATGAAAAGTGAGTTACATCATCATTACCCTAAAAAAGAGGTCATCCATTTTCTTCTTATTCTGTGTTTAAAGACATTAGCTCTCACACATAACACTTCTAAAACCAAATGCAAGTGTACAAATAATAACCAAATAAATGAGGGGATGTTTCTTTTAAAAGCTTGCTTTTCTTTCCTCCTTTCCCATATATTTATTAAAAAATAAAAACTAGAGTCAAAAAAGAAACATCCCCTTGTCAGTCATAATAGTAGTACTACTTTTTCTTTTGTTTTCAAATACCTTCTCTAGTCTCTACTCTCTACTTCTCTGCTTTCTCCTCTCCCCCCACACCCTTGAGTTCCCATTATTAATTGACAATCTGCAACAAGTACAACAACCATTCTGATTTCTGAAAGAGAGAGAGAGAGCCAAACCAAAATCCATGGAAGAAGAAGATCATGAGCATGAGGCAAATCCCAATCCCACCCTCCTAAACCTCCCTCTATTCTCCATAATGCCATCACCAGAGCATCCTTCAGGAATGCTTACACCCCCACTCTACTCATCAGCCTCTGTTCCTTTCAGGTGGGAAGAACAGCCTGGAAAGCCCAGGCCTTGCACATCCCTCATCCCTTTTCCTAGTGCCACCACCACTCAAGAGGATTCCCCCAATAAGCCCAAGGGCCTGGAGCTGCCTCCCTGCAGGCTATTCTTGGATCACCCCACCAAGACTCCATCTCCCACCACTGTACTTGAAGGTCCTTATGTGTTGGGCAGCAAGCCCAAGTTCACTTCATTCAGGTTTTCCAAAGAAAGACAAAGACAGGCTTCTTTTGATAGCATTGATGATGATAGTCAAAGGAGTACTAGCCCTGATCTTGAGGCAGGGCACTTCAGTAATAAAAGTAAGCTGCCACACAAGGGCAAAGGTGGAATCTTTGGTTCTTGGAGGTATAACCTCAGGACCCCTAAAGCCAGCAGCAGGCCTGGAAAGATTGGGGAAATTGGGGGAAGCAGTAGAAGCTTTATCCATCCAGATTTTGAAAGTGATGAGACTAACATTTCCAAGAACAAGGTTTCAAGGATGAGGAGAAATGGAAGCTTTTCTTCAAGCCTTACCCAAGCCAGGTCTCACTTTTGGGTAAGTTACTTTCTTTCATTGTGAACATTTTAGCATGAAGAGCAAAGCATGCATCTAATGATATTCTGTACAATCTCCCAGAATTTTAACATTTGCCAGATACAGTATTATTTTATGCATTCTTTTAATCATCATCATCATCATCAAATTGTACGTGAGGGCTAATGTAAGCCTAACGTTTCCAGTTTTGATCAGTACAATCTGGATTTTGGTACATGTTGTTGCATTAATATTTGATTTGATGCAGTAGCTTTACAACTAAACCATGATCATTTAGGGAAGTAGTTACCTAATCTGATAAGGGTTGTGATTAAAGCAGTATTGTAATCTCTAGCAAAAGGAGTAATCTTTAGAGCTGAGGGAGTCTTGCGTACAAAAAGTCCAAAAGTACATTAAATGGTGGGTTGTTGGCACCTTTCTGCCCAAAAGTACAGTGTAATATCTACGATGATAGGTTCCTACGCTCAAGATATAAAATCACAAATCTTTTGCTGATAATATAGGCTTGAAAATACACTGCCAACATTGCATTTATTGTGTGCTAGTTGGAGCATTATGATTTCTTTAATGCAATGAATGACTAAAATGTGTAAACCCCATCATCATGAGCAAGATGTGGGTCCGGAATCCATCCAAAACACATACACACACACACACACACAATGAGCAATGACTCTGCGCCATATCCCTGAAGTCTTTGAATCCAGTGGCTAGAATCTTGATTCTTAGACTTGACAGAGTGAGACTAAATTGATTTCGGTTGTCTTGTATTGGTTGTGGACATACGCCGCTCATCATGCATCTTAGTTTTCTTGTGAATTATATCTCATTTGTTCAATGAAGAAAATCTGTCCAGTGTATGGAGGATTCCATTAAAATCTAAAAAAAAAAAATCTTCTTTTCTTGAAACTCAGGCAACCTTTTCTTAAAGAGAAATTATATTAGCTTTCATCCCCATTTCTGCAAATGTCTTTTATACGTAGAATACAAAACCCAATTGAATGGAATCCCGCCATAAGAGAACCATACTCCTTTCCCATAAAAGCTTTCTAGTTGGGAAGTCTTTCCCGATTTCTACACTTCCCAGAAAATCTCCTATCTATAATAAAATTACAATTTAAAGTATTTGGCCTCGTCTATACATGTATACCTAAAACTAACAAGAATTATGCCTTTACCATTTGCGCAGGCAGCCGTGTACGAGGGAATCAAGCAAGTCATGCCTTGGAAGAGCAGGAAATCAAAGAAAGGACTTGTGTAGGCTAAAGCTTCACAAGTACCTTTTAGTTGGAATTCTGGGATGGATGGATCATGGATGTATGTTTGTCTTGTAACATGGGAGTTGTGACCAGCTCATAAGTTTGATAATGAAATGTTCAAACTGAACATGAGTCTATGTCTATCAATGGTAACAAATATGTTGGTATGTATTTAGCTCAGTAGACAGGACAAATCAAAATAGTACCATCCAGGAGTTAAGGATCCTTCAGCTTAAAAGCAGTCACCTATTTTTGTGCAAATCTGTGATTTCGCAAGTGAAGATGTCAAATTTCAATCACGACTTCCGTCTACAAAATGATAAATGCATCCCAAGAAACCAAAAAAAAAAAAAAAAAAAGAACGAGAAGCCAAAAGGAGTCAAGTCTCAGCAAGGCTTGGCTAACCTAAGAGTCCTGAGCATTTAAACATGCACGAATTCAGCCAGCAAAAAAATGTTCCAGTAGTCGAGAGTCAATACTAGGAATATAAGGTTGTAACCAGATTAATGGACCTCACAAACCCGAGTTTCCAAGCTCATCCTTGGCTGGATTCAGAGAATGTGGAATTCAATAAGCCATTAAGAGCCTAACTCAGACTAAAGGTCAGGTCGATCAGTATAAATTTGTCTACAGAAACGAGAACAGATACCAAAAAATAATAAACAAGGATCTAAATAATATTAACTAGAGCTTTTCAAATGATAAAAAAGAAAGGATGCAAGCCAAAGTATGTCCAAAGCTACACATTACTCAACTCATATGAATGAGCTCAAGTCCAGAAAATTTTTTTGCTCAACAGTAAGTAAATAGCAGCATTATTTAAAAGGTACACTTTTGCTAAAGTTGGCTAACAGAAAATGATAATCACTCATTCACCAAAGCTGAACCAACACTATTTTTTACCCGTCATACCAGCAACGACCTGCAATATATGCACAACAAAAATAGTTTAGTGCTTGTCAGAGGTAAATCAATTACCTTATCATACCAAACTACAACATTTAATTTTTATTCTCAATAGCCTACACATGTATGAAACCCAACCATCCTATTTACTTTGATCCATGTCCATAAAGAAAGCTAAGGTTATACTTACTGCCATTCTTTAAAGGGGAATACACCTTTATTGAGTAAAACATTTTGGAGGTAGAAAAAAAAAAATGGGCTGGAGAGAATTAATTCTGAAATTCCTTCAACTATACGTTTTGAAGGGACAAAGAAGTTGAAATTTTTAATTTGGATGAGTTGTTGAGATGTTTTGTTGTTTTCGGAAATTAGGGAATGACCAATGACTAGTTCAGCTGTTCGTGAACAAACTGAAAAATTATTCTATAAGTGAATCACAGCCCAATTCCCAACTTCCAATTTCTATTTTCTAATGTCAGCATCATTCACTGAGTGTAATCGCGCTATTGCCTTCTTTGGATGTGGAATATTCTCCAGTATTTGGAGATGAAAATCAACTAAGCTAAATATTTACTGAACAAAACTCTTAAGAAGAAATACAAGACCATCCCTGAAGAGAAAAAGGACAACTATTGCCACCAAATTAAAGGGAGGAAACTTACATCACTCAAAACGGCTGGAGGGGCTTGCTTGGGTGTCTCAAACGAGTCCAAAATAGGTCTCACGACAGCTGGAAGGAATAAACCTGAAACAATTGATGCATCAAAACCATGTTAAGGCCATGGTGTCCATTCTGTTTGAAGTAATAAAATGAAATATAATTAGTCCAAACAGAGTGAAAATTGAAGAGAATAAAATGTTTCAAACATACTACTAGCTAGATTCTCCATTCAGGTAATTATGTGCAAGGTAATAATACCATTGACTAAACCTTTGCTTCAAAGTCGATATCAAAAACAAAAACACATACTTCCTTCAAGAGCAGAACGATAACATTCTTCACAAGCATCATGAAACAGAGTCTTTTCATATTATTTGCATTATAGGAGCTAAACTGATTTTGTTTTAACACAATGAAATGTTTACGTTAATGAGGTAGTAGTAAATGCTGCTTCGACAATGGAAAAGGTTGCACAAAGAGCACAAACAGATGCATCGTAACTGAAAAAAAAAATTGTCTTGAAAAGCTAATGACGTAAAATGGAAAAGACCAGAAAACAAACTGATGGGCTCTTTACATTTATCAACAAGATCATCGAATACAATTTGGGTATGTTATCCACCATTCGGAGGGCATTTTCCAGGAAAATTAAACATAAGAGTTGCAGCTCCACTAAAATTTAGTCCACCATTAATAATAAGCTGAATTGTGAAGCGAGTTGCAGAACTGAATCACCACTAAGCTGAAAAAAATAAGCCCTAAGGATTCCAAACTTTCCTCCAAAGAGAACCCGATGCACTACATTTGAAGGCATTTTTGCCACCACAGGAAAGAATATTTGCCATGACATGCAAGCATAGAAGGGTACCTCGAAGTTAGATTACTATTAACAAGATGATTGGTCATGAGTAATTCTGGCCTGAATTAGTTAGTACTAAGCTAAAATTACTTACACAAAATCAAAGCTTTCGCAAAAAGAATACTCCAACATCTGGTATATCAATTTTTTACCCGGATTCCCAACATAACAAGGCAGTTCTCAACCAAAATATCAAAAATTTGGAGTAAAACAAGCACCAAAGAAAGCATTAAAGAAACCCTTCAAGCTCCGGACTCAAAATCACAAATCAAAAAACTACTTTCGCAAAATTCGTCACCAGCGTCTCTTAATTTACTACATAACCCAGTTATCCAAACTTCAGAACCCATCAAAGTAATAAAAAGATGATTATTGAAAGAAAAAAAAAACGAATCATCCATCTGATCTGAGCTCATGAGAAATGAAAAAAAGGCAGTTTACCAACTCCGGCTATGAGGCAAGACGCCGCCACGACGGGCTCTTGGACAACAAACATTTTGAGCTTCTCCATCACCGGCATTTTTTTTCCCTTGGGGATCTCTTCAAATTTCAAAAGAAACAATCGGGGGATATTGTCGCCGGAATGACGATTGATCGACTGACTGACACCTCAATGTTTCTCTTCTCTATGTTGTTGTTGCTCATTTGGGTTTTCTTCAATGGACCCATTTGGAGCTCAGTTCTATTGTTCTTGGGCTCAGCCCAAATGTTTTCTAGTGGTTTTCAGTGCCAGGAAATTTATGGTAACAAAAATCCAACAAAAAGTTTTTTTTTTTTTTTTTCCTTTTTCTCTCAGTAAAAAAGAAAATTATTCTTTTCCATCAAAGAAATTAAATAATATTTATCACTATTTTTCGATAGTAAATTTCTTTTTATGTCAATGTCAGGTATGTGGGAGAATATTTAGGCAAAATACAATAAGCCAAAACTCGAGACTTGAAAAAGAGACATACACGTTCTTGTGACTTATTAACAATCTCAATTAAAAATGATATTGATGGATATCCAACTCCTTTGATTCGTATCCTACAAAACAAGGTTATCATAATTCGGGCTTAAAACCTCAGAAACCTAAGTCAATAATGCTTGTCGAGAATAAAGTGTAGGTGAGTTCTGTTACCCAGAACTTGGTTTAAAACATAAGAAATTGATACCATTTTATTTTTATTTTTTTAAAAAAAAAAAGATAAAAAGAAATCAAGTCACCATTATCATGTCCAATTCGGAATAAGAAATGGAAATTTAAGTTGGTTGACCGTTTCTTAAATATAGTAATAAAAACGTGATTGATTGGTGTGTATCATGTACGGGTCTAAAGAAGCAGCAGGATGAGGATTATGCAATTGCGTCATTGATACGGACTAGTGATGACAACAAATGTTTGAAGATGTAACAATTTTTGTCCAGTTGAATTGTTTGACTTGTATGAAACAAATTAGATAACTCCTAGCAGCTCGCAAATGCTAAGCTCCGCAAATTCCTACTACACACAGGCAGCTCAATGTTTTCGCAGGTCTAAAATGAATACTATAATTGAGATCTTTTAAATATATAAAAAAATAAAAGATATAATAAATAATTACAAAAGTACAAAAAAATTTGCTTCACATATTCATTCAGAACTAAAATTTTCACATTACCATATGGCACACAAACATAAATAGTTTTTTGATTCACTTTTACTTTGAAATTTCGTGAAAAAACTAACGGCCAATTTTTTATTTTATTTTATTTTTTTGCATATAAAATTCACGCGAATTGACTAAAGATATTATGCCACCATTATAAAAATTTGACTCGAACCTTTCCTATCTCTTGATTTGCTTGTGAATTTACAAAAATTGAAATTTTAAATGGACACACAATAACATTCGATCAATTCACATGCATCTCGCGTGCAAAGAGTTGGCCTTTTTTTTTTTTCACGAAACCTAACACAAAAATAATTAAAATACTATTTAAATTTATGGTGTCATATAATAACATCTGAAACTTATAGTTTTGAGTAGCAAACAATTTTTTGATATTTTTGGAATACTTTATTAAAAAATATAGAATTTATAAACATCATCTATTCAGATAGAATTGTAAATATTGAGCATTTATTTTGGTAGTTGGATAAATTGCGAGTGATTGAGATTTGAAAGTATTGAGTGGTTCCTTATTATTATTATTTTTTTGGTTTTTAAATAGGAAAATTGATTTGTTAACTGAAAATATTAAAAAGATTTGGAAGAAAAAAAGAGAATTCAAAATTTGTAGAGTTTAAATATGAATTGAAAATATGTAATTTTTCTCTTATGAACCGTAAGATGTTTTATTTATTTTACTCTTTTAAGATAGTATAAAAATATTAATTTTTAGAAAATTGGGGATTAAAACCATTGTTTCATTATCTTTATAGGAAGGCCGTCACCGCGACTGCAAAATGATGTAGCTTTTATGCTTGTTTTTTTACAACCACAATGTATTGGGTTACAACAATTTACGGTTGAGATATTATAACTTGACTTATACGCTATACCTAGCCACAGAAGAAGAGATACATAATTCTAACACTGTGTTCACTCCTAAACTAAGCTAAATTGTCTAAATTATGGCAACATTTCTAATTACAAAGTAAGAAAATTCCAACAGCTCAAGAAATACAAAGAGAAGAATACTACACTTTTATAAATGAAATCTAAACATAGCTTACAAGAAACTAAAACTCCAAATCTAAATCGAAAGACCCGATCTATGTGACTAAAAGTCTCAGATCTGTATAGATCCTTCGTTTGCAAAATCATTTGACCTCACATTCATCTTCATTTCTTTCGGAGAGTTGTGGATCTTCTTCTTTTAAATCAGATCTGTTGAAAAGAGCTTGCCAAAAGTACATTTAAAAAAAGAAAACAACTTTCCCATCCACTATTAATGGTGGATGAGGAAAGATGAAGAAAATTTTGAAGAGGGGTTTTTTACAAGAGAGAAGGAGAGGTTCTATCTGGAAGAAAAGAGGGAGCGGTACACAAGAATGAAGCAATGGCTTTATAGAAAAGAATGAGAAAACAAAAATGCATACGAAGGAATTCCGATAGATTAGACTACAGAGAATTTGCATACTAGTACTACACAAGAATTATTTCTAACGGCTAATTACAATTCACCGGAACAATAATAATTTCAATTAGTTAGCCACATAATTAGCTTTTTTCTTTTTTTTTTTCCTTTCATCCCTCCTATTGGGAAAAGAAACAAAAGGTAATAAAAGAGAGGGTGAAGGTGACATCAGCAACGGACGGCCAAGACGGCGCCGCGGCTGAGCTCCACCACAACTCCACACCTAACCCCACTCTGCACCCGGTGGGTAAACACCTTCAGCACCCTGACCCGCCCTTCCAGCTTCATCCTCGTCTCTATCTCCATCGTCGGCGTGGTCGTGGGCCCCGGCACCACATCTCCTCCTCCGGCCTCCTTGGACGCCACGTCCATCGGCCGGGGAGCGACGGTGGTGGTGGAGGCGGCGGTCTGCGGAGGAAGGGGATAGGCGTGGACGTCGAACTTGGCGGACATGTGCTGAGCCCTGCCGCCGTCGATCTCACCGGCGGGAATGAAGACGAGGCCGAGAGGCTGGCCGGAGTAGGCGAGCTGGAGGGAGCTGTCGTAGTGGGTGAACTGGTCGCGGTTGGGGTTGGTGACGGTGACGAACTGGAAGAAGGTGAAGTTGAGGGTGCCGTTGGAGACGGAGAAAGTGGGGAACTGGACGGCGTCGACGGTAATCCTGGGGGGTTTTGGTTTGAAGATAAGGAAGTAGACCAAAACGGCGGCGGCGGCGAGCAGGACTAAGAAAACGGTGGCCACCAGACAAGATGCTAAGTTGGTACTGCGCCTGGATTTAGATCTACGTTCAGGATCGTACATTGTTTTTTATTTAAAAGGCAACACAAAACACGAATAATTAATTTGATTAGTTTGGAATTTGAAAGATGTGGGAAGGAATTAAGCAAAGAAGCAGCAAAGGAGTGGGTTTTGGATCTACTACGTTCAGGACTGATAAAAATGGCTGCCACTCACTGTGGGTATTCGGCCCCCCTTTTTCTAATTTTGTTTTGTCTCAATCAGAAAAAAGGAGGAGTTACTACTGCTACTACTGCTGCTGTAATATTAGTCCAACTGTATTGATACGTTGTAGTTGTTGTTTTACTCTTCCTTTTTACTATTTATTATTATTATCCAATAAGCAATAAGTTTTTTTTTTTTTTTAACCCCCTTAATAACTATAATATATTAGGAAACGATTTTCTAATAATTTGATTATTAATGTGCCATCTGTTCCAGTTAATTCCCCTCAAGAGGAAGGAAATACATTTTCAAAATAGACAATTGTTTGAAGCCACATACAATACAATTCATAGAGACAAGGATTTCCAAAGCTAAAGCTATTTGTTTTTCTTCTTTTTGGTTTTTGACAAGACACAATTAACCAGATTGCGGCAACTCAACACTCTTCCCTAACTCTCTCAAAACTCTTCATCTGGATGTTACTTTTCTTTTTGTTTTCCAAACAACAGTAGTAAGAATAGGAGTATCACTATCTAAAGCACGCACTACAAGCTGATCAGCCATGTGCATATGTGGCATGCCTCGCTTGCTGCTAGAAACAACAACCAATTTTATCTTTCAAGGGTTTTGGGGTTCCTTCTGTTTGATTTTAGTTTAGAAGACGTGAGAATGGAATTGGTGGAGGACTGGATTTTAATAGCTTCAACAACACATCAAAACAAGGAAAAAAAGTACAAGATACGTTTGGGATCATTGTGTTTCAAGTAATACTATGACTACCATTTTCCATTTGCTTTATTATTTCTCCTGTTAACAAAACCACAAAAACAAGCGCATTTCTGGGTCTCATCATCACATAAGTTACTAATAACACAACACATCCACGCTGGGGTAAAAAAAGGATCAATCTGGATGATAAAAAGGATCGAAATGCAATAAAAAGTACCCCACTTGTATATATGTCATTTTGCATGTTGCAACACCCTCTAAAAACAAAGACACTAGAATGAACCCGTTCTATGTCCCATTTCAGAGCTTCCTTTTCCCTAAATGTTAATTGCTGTATTATAAATAAAAGAACAACTCCTCCAAATATACCAATAATTCACAAACCATATCAAACAACACCACTACATCACCCATCACTATCACAACTATTTACCAATATCATATTCACCATATGTACCAGTAAACCAAACCTCTTCCCTCAGAGATCTGTTCATCCCATCTTGTCGAGGACGCAATCCATCACCCAAGCAACACCCTCCATGAATTCAGCTTCATCGTAACCAGGCAACACCAAATCCCGCGCTTCCTTGATTATCTCCTCAATCACTGATGGCTTATTCAATGTCTCCCTGCACATCATATTACCTATGGCAAAAGGGGTGAGCCCCCTTTCCGCACCCTTTTTAAGCAGCATGGTAGATATGCGGAATACTTCTGCAGATTTGGGAGATAGTTCCCACCCGTAGAACTTCAACAGGGCAATGTCTTCTTCAGCATCCACTGACCTGATGTATTCCAACGTGTCTGGACTGAAAGGCTGTCGAGCTTGTGGCCAATATAGCCAATCAAACGTGCAATCTTCAAACTGTAACAAATTAAAAAATATCAGTTCCAAAAATATGAGCACCGAGACGATAACAAAAGTGGAAAAGCAAGGAGACAAAAGGAAAAAAAAAGAAAAAAAAAAGAAGGAAACTTACACTCTCTGGCAAGCAGTAACCATGATCAATTGGGATAAGCACAGTCCGTCCATCTTCTCCTTTGCCCACCAAAATGTTTCCAGCATGCCTATCAGCATTGGCCATCCTCATATCCAGAACCGCAATCTTGTGTACCTCATCCACCGGAAAAGCATTAGGACCCCTATCCTCACAACTTCCATCGTTTTCAACAAACAATTGCAACGACCCGGCCTTCATCTTCACACCATCCGGATGATTGAAACACCTATGCAGGCACCTAACCAAGAACGTAGGCGGTACCCCAGCAAAACCATTAGCTTCGCCAATCAATGAACGAGGACCATCCCTTGGATGATCCAAAATATAAGCAGCACATTCCCTAAAGGCACCCTCCCCAACTACAGTTCCTTTCTTCAACCCTTCACGATCCACCGATAATGGCAACCCTCGGGGATTGTTCTTGGCCAAAGGCTCCTCATCCAGGGGCTTGAACACAGCCACATACTTACTTTTCGAGGCATCCTGCATGAAATACGCTCCTCCAGTGCCTTCTGAAGACCTCACAGGATCACTCCCGCTTTCTAATCCTGCAAGGGTGGAATCTATCATTTCGCGAATAGCCAAAGGTAATTCAATCTTCGGGTTCACAATAACAGGTTTCAACACAATGCCCCTGTTACTAGGCTTCTTAGCAGGCACAAAATGGGTCTTCGTCTCAGATAGTATCTCCTCCTCATACCCATTTCCTCCTCGGTTCCCATCAAACTGTCTCGCTTTATTATCCAACTCAGGAGACGCGGCAACAAATGAAAACTCGAAGTTGTTCTTGCCAACAGGCTTGGGCCAAATTTTAGCACATTTCCTCACAAACAAGTGAATGACAGCATCATTATGCTGGCATATATCATTAATAAGCTTTTGATCCTCAAGCTTCTTGCCATCATACAGAACCTCTTGGTCTTCCTCGTCCTCAACATAATCGATTTCGCCCTCCAAACCAACATTCTTATTGGTTTCGGCAGCAAGCTTACGCTTGACATAACCGACATCCTTGTTCCTATCAGCATGAAAAGTATAGTCTTTCCCAGAAGAGGTCCTAACACAAATGGTCAGAATATCGGAAACCCTAAGAACCAAATGCAATACATTGCCATCACTGACCCCATAATCCCTAACAAGAGAATTACTGCGAGCCAATTCGCGGCCCCCACATATCAATTTCTGATTTTTCCGCACAAACCCTTGACATTTCTGGATGCGAAGCTTCACCGATTCGATGGATTCCGACTCCAGAACCCTCATCGGAACCGTCGTCCCCGGTGTAACCACGAATATAAAGATCGATTCTTGGGATAACAATGGTGGTGGAAACACCATCGAATCCTCAAGAGTACTGGGACTAATCGCAACTACACCGGCGGACGACATATTTCTAATCGGACAACGATAATTTAAGAAACCCTAATTACAAATTTTAGATACAACAAAGAATAATAAAAGATATACCTAGAATTTCTTCACAGAGATTATACAAGGAACAAATTCAAACTGTACAGAGTCGAAGAAAACCCCCCAAAAAGCAAAAGCGTAATGTTAGAGATTCATGATTGACCGGTCAACGGCACCGTTGTTTAATTACAAAAAATCAATCATAAACCGTAAGGAACAAAACTGCCATGAAAAAATCAGGAATCGGCTAACAGATAAATAAAAAAGGAGGAAAATTGAGGGGGGGGGGGGTTCCCCGGAGGAAGCGTGCGGCGGATTCTTACCGGAGAGAATGGAGGAAGAACCGAGGAGCAGGAGATGGCCGGAGAGGCAAAATATAGAGGGTGGGGTGGCGGCAAGGATAAGATCGGAGAGGGGATTAACGGGTTTCACGGTGGAGAATTACAAGTGGTTGGTCAGCCGATTCCGATTTTGGGAGCTATATTTCTTCTATTGATTTAATTTGATCGAAAAATGTACGCGGTTTTGGGTTCGGGTTATATACATAGGCGTTGAATAGCGACTTTTGACTCTAAAAACGAAGAAATTTCCTAACATCTCCCAACTCTCCAGTTTTCCACTTCTTCTTTTCCTTGTGTTTTTTGGGTTTACTTCCATATTTTCAAGTAAGTAATTATCAATTTTCCTTTTCCCTTGGTAAAGGATTTCTTTATTTGATTTACTACTTTCCTTTATTTAATTTTTTTTTTATATATATATTACACACCCAGTGTCCAAACTCCGACTAATCCGGATTCGAACCGGGTAGTCAACCTGGAATTCACCATTCTACTAATGCTATTGCCATTGCAGTCAAAATTGGGACAGATTATTTATTTATTTTTTTTATAAAAAGATACCTGTATTAGATTAAGGTAAGAGATCTAAACTATTACAAAGCATCCTATAATATGCAATATTCTGAACTTCTGAGACATCTAATTTGCTAACTTTAATCAATTCGCAGTATACAGATATTATTATTTGGTCACAAGAATCAGACTTAAATCACATTTTGCGTACAAACTTTCCCACACCAAACCCTCAAAAACCGACCCTGTATTAATAATTTCCCAAAAGAGAAATCAATGCTGCAGCTTTTATTTCAAATTTCAGTCTGCCAAGCAACAAAACCCCCTACAAGTCAAACAACTTAATGAGGTTCATCAAATTCTTCTGCTCATCCCAGTAGTATCCACAAACAACTTTGATGCGTTTCACCAAACAGATCACTGAGAGATTCTTCCCACCATTATCCTTCTCACTACAATGAAGCCTGTTCTGAGATTTGTACAAACGAAGTTGCAGCATCACAAGCAAAGGAAACCTGCCACCATAGACTTGACATGGAGATTTACACTCTCTTCATCATCATGTTTATCAATTTCCGAGACTAACAAATGCCACACACTTTAATTTCTGTCAACTACAGATGGGATGGGATGGTCTAAACAACTGTGCGTACTTATTTACATACAAATTTTAAGAATGCATCTATTCACTGAAAGACCATCAAACAAAGACTGGTGCTCCCCTGTATGCTCCCCACAACGCAAAAACAATCTTCAGCGAAAGCAGATTGCAAAAGTTAGCCGAGTAAAACCCCGAAACTGATTACTAGATTGAAAAAACTGTTCAAAACAAACCAGAAGAATGGGCACAGTAACTATGAAATTGTACAAGGTTCAATAACAAAATTGATTAAAAACTTCAGACAGATTTGGCCAGCTAAAGAGGTTGTAACTATTTCACAGGAATTTAGTCAAAAAATAGGACTACATCTACAAGCCACACAAAAGCTCTTCAGTGTATCAAAATTTGTACGAGTTCTTCATTGCAGGTTGCACAAAAGTGCTCTAATCCAATTAGGCAATATATTCTACCCGCAAAAAAAGAAAATCAGACTGAGATTGCACCACAACCCTGGCAACAGAACCAAGCAACAAGAATCCCAAGCAAAGCCCCAGCAACCACCTGCAATGGAGTATGTCCAAGAAGCTCCTTAAGCTTTCTCTGACTAATAGGATGACCTTGGAACAAATCTTCAATGATCACATTCAGTACCTGAATACCAAAATGATCAGTCGTACCTCCAGCAACACAAAATCTGATCACACTGGGAATCCTAAAGTGCAAATCATATTTTGCATTTCTGCCTCATCTCAGGTTATTAAGAACAAAATGAGGAGGGAAAGAAACTTGAATTTTAAAAATGTTTTTAGGGACACACAGAAGCCAGACCTAGGATCATATATGCAAAGCAAACATGCTACACGCAGAGGATGGTTTTACATAATCAAAATGCAATTGATCAGTAAAGCGTATAGTTTCATATATTGAAAAGCAAACTCTGGCTTTGACATTGCAAAAGATTACGAAAGTCGTTATGCATTAAAGTCCCCATATTGTCCCAGCAAGAACTATGAAGATAAATTCTTGAGTCTGTACATGCTCATATACTTATCTCCTATTCAACTACAAAACATTATCCTTTTCAAAAGCACTCGTTCAAGCAATATCAACCATGACTAGGTTTATTATGCATGTCACAGATGCTAACTCCACACATGCACATATGTCAGCTCAGTGCATCCTAATAGCGTATACCAAGGCAACCTAACACTTCATATATGTCTACTGAAACATCCCAAAGCCCCCACAAACTGTAAAATAAGAGGCTAAAAATGTTCATTAACACAGCCAAAGACTCAGATTTTGCATTTCACATATGATTCCTTTGCTGTCAATGAGACAATTGTCAACAAGTAGAAATCACCTTTCTGAGTTACTGATGCAGTTTTCATCATAAAAAAACCAATCCCATATTCACATTCCAGAACAAACTTTTACATTTTCTCATTAGCAAAGCAGTTCTTTAGCTCCACAACCCAAAAAATGCAAAATAAAAACACGGATTGGCTAAACTAAAGAAAGCAAAACAAGGAATACCAACCTCTGCCTGCATTCCAGCATGCCTTCTGACACCAATTGCATCATACATGACAATCAAACTAAACCCCAAACAGACCGGAAACAAAGAATCGGCCACTCCATGGCAAATGGCCACTGAAGTAGTCAAAGCAGTACACAGTGCAGAATGAGATGATGGCATACCACCAGAGGCAACCATAATCCTGAAATCCCATTTCCTCTCCACCCAAAAATTCAAGAAAACTTTACTGGATTGGGCTATCACCCAAGCAAAAAGGGCCGAAACAAAAGTTGGGTTGGCAGCTAAAGTAGCCACAAATGGACTGATTTTAACCTTAGCCGTTGACGTCACACTCATCAATGCCACACCTAATGCTCCATTCTTTAAATACGCACCTTCTTTTCCCCACACAAGATCAGTTGGCAAAGACTCTATTCCATTTCCCAACCCACCAAAGCTAGAAACCCATTCAATCTTGGAAGATTCCACTGCAAAATCTTTTAGCTTCTTGAGAATAGGACCCAAAGATGAAAAGGGTCTCATCCGGGAGCTGGGAAGCCGCCATCTGGAGGTGGGTTTTACAGAATATGTACTTATGCCAACAAAGGAAGTAGAAAATCTGTAACTGGGTAAATTGAAATAGGGAAATGTAAAAGAAGGGCAATAATATCGGGAGTTGAGGTTTGAGTTACAACAGAATTGGGAGTTTAGGAGTAGAGAAGAATCCATGAATGCTAGTGCCCAGTTCGAGTCCAAACTTCATCGAAGGAACAGTTCAAAGTCGGGTTATTACATTAGCAAGGGAGAAGCTAGAAAGTTCAAGCAAAAAGAAACCATTTTTATATGATGATGCCATTGTTTACTTTTAAGGCATTACTTGGTGGTGGCATAGGAATATACTGAGCTCTAAAGGATTAGATACTATGTATATGGGGTCTTTCAAATGTAGGATTGTGGTTCTGGTTCTCCACGTTTTTGGAGTTTTTGACTCACTATGCTCATTACACACACACAACTTAGGGAAAAGTCATTACGATTCTCGACTTGTTTTTATGTTAGTACATCATATTATTATTATGTTTCACTCATCGTCGGTAGCCTTTCAGAGATATACTTAAGAATATTAAAATTATTACAAAGAATCAATTTTTAACGGAATCAATATCCATAGCTCCTTCACTTCTTCAACGAGATCTACTATTGCTGAGGATGTAAATCCATAAGGGCAATACACATTACACACTACGCTGACCATATTCCTCTTTAAATACACTGTTTTCATCGTCCCAGAATATCTGCTTTCGGGGAAAAGATGAGCTTGCTTTGCTCCCACGGTCTCAACATAAATCCAAATTTCCAAGAATACCAAAATATAGAAGAACCACTTCATTCAAAAATAAGATTGCTGGTACAACAATACTGGGACGAAATCTCTTCTTTTGGTACATAATAAACAGCCTAAATTTCTGATCGATTACATTCTTGTACCAGTGTCATATATATTATACGACTCAAAATATAAAGTAGCACTAGCAACGAGAGAAAAGAATGGCGTGTTAATAAAAAAGAATGGACCACTTTCCTAAAATTTTGCTAAATGCCACAAACCTATTTTGACCAGGCAACTGTATCAATCTCTGCCTGGGCAGCTCTGTACAGCTCCAGTCTCTTCGCAAGGGAGGTCCTTCGCTGCATTATTGCCGGATCCTCATCCAGCAATGTACCCAGCTGTTTCCCCTGCAAATGGAAGTTTAAACGAGGTGGTGATTAGGCGTGTGGAATAAATAATCCCTTGTGTTGAAGTTTAGTAAAGACGACAGAGAAAAGGGGAAGATTGATTTAATGATTACCTCCTTCTTGCCCAAGTCAGTAAAGAAGTGATCAAGCAAACTACGTTTGGCCTCGCGAACCTGACAGTAAACGATGGATTTCGGGATGGAATTCCTCAACGTTGCGCAGACCATGTTGACATAAGAGAGGACATTTGATCCTGTGTAGAGGGGCAAACAAATGGTTTATAAATGGATCATGCCCACCCGTCTAACCTCCACAAAGTACAAATCACAACCACATTCAGTTAAAAACATACTAACCTACTCGTCGGAGGTATGAATCATTGTATCTGTCAAAAATTGAATGTGTTGGATTTCCACCCTTCTCGATATCTTGAGGAAGTTTCCGGAAGAAGTCCACAGTGAGGTAACTGCATTCCATCTCAACCAGCTGCAATGTTGCTTTCTTACTCTCATCCCTCATTCTTTCCAAAGATTCAACAGCAGCACTGGAAACCTCCACCCTGAGTGATGGATATTGTTTTAATTCCTGAGATCATAAGGCAAGTTTTGAGTCCACATTATAGCAAAAATTCCTGCAAGATCCACTAAGCTAAAAGTTCTTCAATCAATATTTCAACCATAACACAAATACTGTTTGCAAGATCATTCTGGTTTGCTTCCATATCCATTTTTGGCAAGGAACAAGTAGAGTTAGTCAATTGCGTGCAACACCAAAAGTGTCGTCTTCATAGTTTCCCAGAGCATCCAAACCCAACACCGAAAGTAAATTCAGAGAAAGAAAGATTAGCAAAAGAACTTACATGGGTTTCACTAATTGCCTTGTGCACCAGATCCTTTAGTATACCATGCACCTGTCAACACCACAGTTCATTTCATATGTAAATATATATCACATGATCAGAAGAAACACTGCATGGTATTCATACAATTAGTAGCATATTCATAGATCTAACGTGATACTTTCTTTGATACTCTCAATGACCGTAAAGCAATCATCTTAAACAGTTAAACGTAACAGCGGCAGTTAACACATCAATGAGGAAGAATTCTGCAGCTACCACCAAAAAGAAAGAATAAATATTCTTAGTCAACATCTGCAGTACAACGTAAACCTCTGCAGTAAACATTCAATTAGTCAACATCAACACAAATCCTACAAGAGTACCTGCCTATTTCATACATACGAGGACAAAACAGTACATCTCAAAACAGATGCAGCTATCCATCCCATTTCCACCCAAGAATGACAGGCTGCATAGCCACAAAAATATACAGGACAGCAAACTTCCTCAAACTGTCAACCATCAATGAGGTGATAACCAGGATATAGACCCACATGCCAAATAATAATCCATACCATCCAAGAGTTGTATGCTGGATAGGTACACAAAAACTCACAAGACAACAAACTTCCAATGTCAAACATCAATGAGATAATAACCAGAATATAATCCCACATGCCAAATACTCCATTTCATCCAAGCATGTAGGCTGGATAGCTACAGGAAAATTCACAAGGCCATATATGGACCCACATGCCAAATACAAATCCAGAAACAATCAAAAAATACATCTATAGTTGAAAAATGCATACCGCATCAACGGAAGCCTCAGCAGGACCTTTTATGGTAACCAAAGTGGATTCAATCAGACGACGGTATCCCTGTTCTGGTGCTATAAGATGAGGCTGATAACCATCAGCTTCGGTAATAAGCTTTCTTACATTGTCCATTGAAAGATGCTTGTCAAATTGCAACCTTTTCAACGCAGCAGGCAGTAGATTGTCAAAAACATTGTACACCTTGTCACCACCAGGTCGACTGAAAGTAAAACAATCACCGGAGCAAATAATTACAATCAGAAACAGCAAACATGAAAGAACATGAACAGAAACAACTATTATACATACACTCCATCAAGATGTTCCTTAAATATCCCATCAAAAGATCGGCAGATTTCCATAATCATGTACAGCTTTCCCTGGATTGCACGAGGACATGTTACAATTATTGCATAAAGGAGGGCAGCAGTTATACTACAACTCAAAAAAAAGAAAAAAAAAAACAATTTTCAGACTGAAAGATAATACTAGCAGTAAACAGAAGACAAAAACAAGAGGAAAAAAACTACTCTTAAAATGAAACTCAAAACTTACACCCGCATCCGTGGCAATTGGTTTCCCAAGACGGCTCAACTCTGATTCTAGTTCATTGATAGTTTTGTTAATCAGTGATTGAAGACCAGGAATTCGAGACTTGATGACAGCCTCTAAATGCTGGAAAATGAAACTTTCAAGTAGTTAATCACCAAGATAGCAAAGATCATTGTCAAGAACACTGAAGAGTTACTACCAATCAAAGCCATAAGAATGCAACACACTGGCATTAACATCCTTCTAAGATAATGTAATGCATGAAAATCTCAAATCTTGTCATAGTAGCCTCCACATAGTAGAATTTAATGTTGAAGCTCAAAGGTAAGGCGACAGTTGTTTAAAATAATTACAAGATTGTGATGCAGTGTTCAATAAATTTCAATTGAGATTTGCTCAGAATATATAAGAAATTAGGCTTTCGAAGGTTGGCCAAGAGTTCTTTCCTGAACTGCAAAAGAAATTTCCTGTTCCATGGTTAAAATTTTTAATCACAGAAACCTTAAGATTTCCAAACCCTAAAACCTACTCTCAAAATGGACAAAACTTGTATCTTAGTTAAATTAGCAAAGAATATGTTGTTCAAGAGTTCTTTCCTGAACTGCAAAAGAAATTTCCTGTTCCATGGTTAAAATTTTTAATCACAGAAACCTTAAGATTTCCAAACCCTAAAAGCTACTCTCAAAATGGACAAAACTTGTATCTTAGTTAAATTAGCAAAGAATATGTTGTTCTGAGAAGCCCCAGAAAAGCTGAAAGAGGAGAGAAACTTAATACCAAATAAACAAACCCAACAAGCCAGCGAAATTTAGGAAAAAAGAAGTTAAAAAAAATGGTTTGATCTGGTTAATAATATAAGAAAACATGTTCTTTGAACACAATCATGCGGAATACAACATGTAAGCCTTACGGAAAATCATTCTTACTTTTGAAAGGACTTTCCCAAGGTGCTCAGAACCCATCCTTGAAGCAAGATGCTTGTACTCAGGTGTATTAGCAAAATACTCTTTCTCTCTACGCCTAGCAGCAATCATGTCAACACTTTTATTAATATCGGCTTGGGAACGATTAACGACACCAATCCATGGAAACTGTAGCTTGTAAGATCTCCCTTCCAAGATCTGAATTGAACGAAGGAAAAAGTATAAAAAGGAGAATGATATGAGAATGATATTCAGAATTTCAATGAAGTATAACAAGTTGAAATTTTTTTTGCTAAGCTATAAAAAGGAGAATGATATGAGAGTACTATTGCCGTCAAAAGATAAGCATGTAAAGTTAATTTCATGACCAAACCCTGCACAGCATAAGCGAGGTGGCAAGGTATGAACATATGAAAGCAGTCAAAATTTACACAGAAGGAAACAATACATCAGATGTTTACAACACTGAACACTGATGTATTACATCACTTTCCAGTCCATGACCACAAAGCAATTATTATTATTATTACTATTATTATTATTATTACTATTATTATTATTATTATTGGTTTAAGGGCATTACATCACTTTCCAGTCCATGACCACAAAGCAATTATTATTAGTATTATTATTATTTTATTTTTTATTTTTATTTTTAGCTTAAGGGCGGAAAGAAGAAACCCCATTGACCACCCTGCACCCTTGAGGATCAGATATAAGCATATTTCTTTATTTACTAGGAAATGGATCGAGTGCTCGATCATGAGCATAAGGCAGCTTTAAATTAATCACACTGAAAAATTCAATAAGGGATCAGCACCGGAAAACTTTTAAACGAAGAAAATTCTTCAAATCCACAATGCAATCCACATAACCTCAGTTGGAAGTGAAAGACAGAATGTAAACATCGCTCAGTAGCGAGGGGATCTAGCATTTATAAACTAGTACTAAAAGCAACACTAAGAAATAATCAGTGAAGTCTGTGGGTTAGAAATTATGATGCCCGCGATAACAGCATAAAATGTACCCGTACAATAGCCACTATTGAACTTTTGCTGAAGGGATCACGCTACGACCCATATAAAATACGAAGCTATAGAATACAACTTACATCAACAGCATCAGTACCCTTGTCCATGAGATCAATTTTTGTAAGAACACCAAATGTCCTCTCCCCTGAAAAAGGCAACAAGCAGGTTAGCCAGGTTCATAAGTTGGGAGAGATAGAGAGACATAGTGGCAAAATCATTGTTAGTGATAATAAAAAAATTGATACTGTAGAACTCATCAACAGAGCAAGTAACTTAACTGATTGAAGACTGACAAAAGGAAGATTATGGTAAAACACATGCAGAATAATTATGCAACATAAAAAATTCTTATCATCATCATACCTCTTGGATCTACTTCACGTGAAATTTTGATTGCATCTGATGTAGCAAGATCCTGGTTTGCTGGAGAAATGGCAAGGATAATACAATTGGGCTGCAAGAATAAAATATTTTCCTCAAGCCAAGTTTTTTGTATTACATAAGTTTAGGTCAAACCTAAAATTACCACCACCAATATTTTTGCCAAGGATTTAAGAGCTCGAAAAAATAAGAACATTAAAAAAAGAAAAAGGACAGCACAGGCTACCTTCTCGATATATGACCGCACCATATTTTCAATGTCCTGAACAATGCTGTCAGGCTGACCCTCTACAAATATTCAAGAAAAGTTAGGTTCGTTAGAGCGACTTCAAGTACCCAAGGTAGAAATGAGACTACAGATATTCTTTTTCCAAGCAGAATTTTCAATATGAAAAGTTGCCAAACTCACCAACAGCCACTTTGGTAAGTCCGGGAAGATCAATGAGTGTTAAGTTCACCACTGCAATAACAAAAAAATTATAAACAAAGAGCATTGAGCGAAAGGAACAAAGACAGGTTATTTATCACATAGTAACAACGGAAGAATAAGTCGCAGGCAAAAATTACTTCATCAATTGGAAGTTATATCAATCACCTTGGTTAAGGAGAGGCGGTTAATCATTCATAAGCAGAAGTTAGATGTCCGATACATACACACGAATTGAACACTCCACAAAAAGTAAGCTGTCCAATCAAATTGATGAGAATGTTTTATTTTTGAAGGCAATCCCTTTCCAAATTAGCAAGTGCTTGTTAACATACAGACTATTCATGTATTTTAACTCGTTCAAAGCAATCCATCTTACTTGACACTACCAACTCAATTTTTTAGAAAGCAACAACTTGATAAAAAAACAAATCTCATGAAGCTCCAACAACACTGGGAGCATCAACGTGATATATTCCTCCACATTTATCCACAACTAAATTATGCTGTTGGAAGATTTGGGTGCCATACCATTTGGGGAGTAAATGCTGAGATAGATTGGGACACTAGATATATGCTTGGTTCGACCTGTTTCTCTGTCAGTTTCATCAGAAATCTCTTTTCTTACGGCAGCTGCAAAAATAAACGGTGAACATAAGCACCCACGACAGTATTACGACAGCAAATTGTAAGGCTAGAATCGGATATCTGCCCAAAAAATGGTAAAATTACAATTTCTGAAAACAGTCAATAATCTGCATGCATTTATAATAATACCATCAGTCAATAATCATTATTATTATTATTTTCTAAAAAAGACCTCAAAAGAGAAGATTATTGGAAGATACCATCTATCATTCTCAAAGAGGTCTAATTGTCCCGATAAACTAAGAAATTAAGGACACATGCTTCACAATTCTGGACAGTCATATGACAAGTCTATACAACTAATATATTGAATAAGCACATATTATGCACTAAGAAGTGCAAAGGTGAGATTGACTGGTCTTAAGGAAATTCCTTTTAAAAATTTTCCAATGCATTTAAGGTATATAAACAAAATGAAGGCAAAGAAAAAGGTCATCGAAACTTCCATAAAAGCATATTAATTCCACCATTTTCTCGAGGCCCAAAGATCCATAGAATACTAACCAAAATCAGTGAACCGCTTTCTGGGAAGGTGACCGAACTCTGCATATTCTCTGCCTTCACTAATGCGGTTAAGTTGTAAGACAAGTGGTCGCCGGGTTACAATACCTGCAGATGAACATCAGATCAGTTTAGAGCATCTATCTCCTCATCATGACACATGGCATACAAAGAGTAATTACGTCAGACAATGTCTATAACAGTAGATAAATTTTACCAGATCCACGAGGCAAAAAATCCCTTCCAACAACGCTCTCAAGCACTGAAGACTTGCCAGAACTCTGAAGAAAACCAGAAGAATGCTCACTTTATCATTAAAACCAACAGAAAGCCAGACTAAAAATCTAAAATAATCACAAATAAGAAAAAATAAAATGAATGAAGAAACTGAAGTTGAGCTCACAACACAACCATGTAACAATTCACAACATCAGTAGTACAGGAAAAGAAAAAACAACATTCAATCTAAGACGTTCGAGCACTCCCAGATCAATGAGAATCCCTGACCCAAATAAGCAACCAACCACACTACTCATGAACAAATGCAGTGTGCAATCAATTACAGAAAGCCCGCATGTGACCCCAAAAATATGTGTCAATCACTCACTAAAAAGGACAGGGAGCAAAAGCGGAAAGAAATTAACATTTCAAAATGAATTTTGAGGTTCCAACAAAAAGAAAACAGTTAATCGTGTCTCTCCAAAAATGACAGGCATCAACTCATAAAGCCCTAACTAAGAGTATCAGTTTTTTCAACTTCATATGTGAACGACATCACAATGATGAGAATGGTGTTCATCATCTGAGCAGCAAATAAATAGATTCCAGAACTAATTTCCAGGTATAAGTAGCCCAATCAATGATAAAAGTATTTGACGGTACTAATAGTCTAATAATAATTGAGTAATACCCCCTCCCCCCAACCAAAAAAAAAAAGAAAAAAAAAGAGCCTAAGTTAAGGAAAAAAGAAGAAAATAACATAGATCTGAAATGAAAACGAATCAACATGCAAATCTAACAAACACAAACATAAGAATCCGATCATTCATTCATCTCAGAGCTAACATAAAACAATTACTGCAAGGATTGCAGTAAAAAAAATTGTATAGAAAGGAAAAACAACATCATAATATGAAATAAGATCTGATGAAAGGTGAAAATTGGATATTTAAGGAGGGTAGTTTACAAGTGTGAACTAACTAACCTGGCCACCGACGACGGCGATGGAAGGCAAGGCATCCCAAAGAGTAGGCAAAGCGGAGTCCTCGCCGTGATCGCCCAAGGCGGTACAAGCTTGCTGTAATCTATTCACCAATGCTATCAAGTTTTCCATATTTACTAAAATTTACCGGCAACTCTAGCAATCTCCTCGAAATCAAGGGAGGACGGGCGATCGGAGAAAGGTATCCGGCGGTTTGGGTGGGTATTCCGATCGATTCGATTTGACTGGATTCAGCTGAGTAGATTAGATTTGAGAGAGAAAGTCCGATCGCCGGCGGAAGTTTTGAATTTTGATTTTTCGTACTGTGTTATGTTTGTATGTTGAGTTTTTTGAAAGGAGAAAGAATTGAAACGCGTCGTATTGCTTTCTTCGGTGGGTTGCTGGCGGAAGTCGGTGCGGGCCTGTGGGGACACGTAATTTCTTTTTTTCAAAAAAATAAAAATAAAAAGAAAAAACAGAAAGGAGTATTCCACGAACTTTCTAAATAATTGGACCTCTATTCATAGTTTACCTAAAATGTGGAGGGCAATAATGCAAATTTACCACATTTATTGTATTTGCCTTTAAGCGCCAAGTTTGAGATAAAATATCTAAACAAAAAAAACACCGGAATCCCAAAGTCCAAGAGAGGTTTTAGCTGAATGAATCTGATAAACCCTGCCCAGAGACAATAATCCGAACTCCCTAAAGGTAAAGGTCAGTGTTAATCTTCCTCAGTGTACTACTGATGTTGTGAATTGTTCTTCTTCTGTGACTTTAAAAGTTCATTTTTGTAAGAATTTCATGGAGCCTGGTCTCTTGATGTCTGCACACCAAGTTTTACCATCAGCACCATCCGTTGGTGTTTTACAATTCCCTAGTCCATACAAAGCCAATTTTTTGAGAACACCTAGATGTTATTTGAGGTCTCCTGTGTCAGTATGTGGAGGGAATTTAGAGAAGACTGTATTTTTGGGTGAAAAACTGAATTTTTTAGGTGCAAGAAATTATTTTTTAGGTGGGAATTTTGGGCATAGGGCAGTATTTATGGGTTACAAAGTGGATTTTGTTGGTGGAAAGAAGGAACTTTTAGGTGGGAATTCCGGGAAGAAGACAGTGTGTTTGAGTGGTAGACTGGATTTCGGTGGTGGAAAGAATGAATTTGCAGGTGGGAACTATGAATTTTCTAGGAGAAATGTTGTAAAGGGTGGTGCTGTGAAGAGGAGGAAAGAGCTTTCCTTTGACAATGTAATTCAAAAGGACAAGAAGCTGAAATTGGTCTTGAAAATTAGGAGGATTTTGATGAGTCAACCTGATAGGGTAATGCAGCTCCGTGACCTTGGCAGGTTTAGGAGGGCATTAGGTCTGGAAAAGAGAAGGCGGTTTATAGCCTTGTTAAGGAAGTTTCCGGCAGTGTTTGAGATTGTGGAAGAAGGGGTTTATTCTCTTAGGTTTAAGTTAACCCCTGAGGCTGAGAGGCTTTACTTAGAGGAAATGAGGATTAAGAATGAAATGGAGGAAATATTAGTCGTCAAGTTGAGGAAAATGTTGATGATGTCAGCTGAGAAACGGATCCTTTTAAAGAAGCTTGCCCATCTCAAGAATGATTTCGGGCTCCCTTTGGATTTTCAGGACACGATTTGCCGGCGCTACCCACAGTATTTCAAAGTTGTTTCCACTGGGAGTGGTCCGGCTTTGGAGCTAACTCATTGGGATCCAGAACTTGCTGTTTCGGCTGCTGAGCTTGCTGAGGAGGAAAATAGGGCTCGGGAGATCGAAGAGAGAGATTTGATTATAGATAGGCCACCAAAGTTCAACCGGGTCAGGCTCCCTAAGGGTCTTAGTCTTTCTAAAGGAGAGATGAGGAAGATTTCTCAGTTCAGGGAAATCCCCTACATTTCGCCTTATTCTGATTTCTCTCATTTGAGATCCGGGACTATAGAGAAAGAAAAACACGCCTGTGGCGTTGTTCATGAAATCTTAAGCCTCACTCTTGAGAAGAGAACGCTGGTAGACCACTTGACTCATTTCCGGGAGGAGTTTAGATTCTCTCAGCAACTTCGAGGGATGCTGATTAGGCATCCTGATATGTTTTATGTTTCTCTTAAAGGAGATAGAGACTCGGTTTTCCTTCGTGAAGCTTATCGCGATTCACAACTGATTGAGAAGGACCGGCTCTTGCTCATTAAGGAGAAGCTTCGTGCCCTAGTTAATGTTCCGCGATTTCCAAGAAGGGGTGTGCCAAGGAAGACTGATACTGTTGGGACTGAAGGAAGTGAACCTGATCAGGAAGGTGGCAGTGGCACGGAAGAGGAGGAAGATGATTGGTCTGACATGGATAATGTAGTCAATGATGAATTTGATGATGAAGATTTTGGCGAAGATGATGAGGATTTTGATGACATTTTCAGCAACGAGGAAGATGATTTGCCCCCAGACTTCAATGATAATGATGGGATTATGAACCTTGATCCCCAAAAAACAAGCAGAAAGGGTAATAGTTCAGATAAGAAAGATGAAAAAGTTCAGGTTCCAGTTCTCCCAGATGGCCGGCCAAGAGAACGCTGGTGAAAATTTTGACAATAGAACAGATTTATTGCTTATCAGCATTGTAAATGATATATTGCAAACCCCTTGAAGAAAGAATGCGCTGAAAGCTCATGCATCTTCTTAGATGACTTTTTCAGTTAGACCAGTTTTCTTCTCATCCCGGTACAAGGTTGTTCAAGATGTCACCCTTAGATCACATCTTTATATCCTGTACAAGGTACAATGTTCTAGATAACAATTTTTGGGCATTTGTTTGTCTCGGGCATGTACTTGAATCTCTATCTTAATTTTGATGTTTTTCAAAAGAATCTTTGGATTTCTGTTGCCCATTTTGATAGTTTTAATGATCATGTGTATTGTAATTCTCTTTCTTGGTCATAATGATAATCTCAGCTACGATGACAAAAGTAGTATAGTTCTTTAATACCATTGAAGCTGCAAAGATGGAATCTTATTTGTGCTCCACTTTCCACCTTTATGTTGAATTTTATTCTGAATTGTCTTTCAGTTATGATAATCCCTGTATCTTTGACAATTACCACATCTATGATACTCCCAACAACTGTACGAGTCAAGTTGGTTGATCTATTTTAGCACATTAACATGACTCGAATATAGATAGTAACATAAACCAATCATTTGTCTAGCCAGATATTGCAGCCAAACAATTATAGTAGGTTCCTGCCAGTTTTGGCAGATTGATCAATCAGTTGACCTTATATCATAATAGTTTGCCTCTGGCAATATTATCCTGATCGTACAATCTTCTTCGACTCCTTATCAAAATCAATCCATTAAACTATTGTTAATTTATAATTAATTTATATCCCTCGAAGCAGATTTGGTTCTTTTTCTCTGTTTCTGCATATTTAAACAGTACGTAGTTTCTACTTTCTGTGAATCTTTGTTCCTTCCACATCATCAAAAAACAGCCGAATCAATGGGGAAGTTGAGCTATTTGGCTGTGAAATCTGACCCGGTAGCGCTTGAATTGACCTCTTCCAACTTTAACGATTTGGGAGATGTGGCTAAGAAGTTAGCTAATCATGCCATCACTCTTATTGGCCTTGGATTCGGAACTTCCTTTCTCAAATGGCTGGCTTTTATTGCTGCTGTGTGAGTCACTTTGCTACTAAATTGGTTCCATATTGCTACTCGTTTCTTGATCTTCATTCATTTTCGTGGAGTTTTACTTACTGGGATTTGGAAAAAAAATTTCTGGTTTGTGTTGATGATGATTGATGATGTTACAGTTACTTTTGTTGATATTGGACCGAACCAACTGGAAGACCAACATCCTCACATCCCTCCTTATCCTTTACATCTTCTTGAGCCTTCCTAATATATTGTTCCACTTGTTTAGGTAATTTGAAGTCATTTCTCCCTTTTTTCCTTTGCCTTTCTTACTTCTAGATTATCTGTAGAATTCAGGGTTGATTTCATTCTTCAAATCGTTGATGATGCAGGGGAGAATTGGAAAATGGATTGATATAATTGCAGTCACTCTACGCCTCTTCTGCCTGCCAGATTTTAGATGCCTTTAATTTCTTTTTTCTAGTTAGTTTTTTCGCCTCTAGAGTTGGTGGTTCATGGGATATAACCTAAGCTTTGATTTCTTGCAACATCCGACATTGCAAAAATGTTCCCATGTTAAGGTATATGAAACCAAGAAAAGCAGTAAACTGTAAATGTCCAGGAAATTGTTTCATGCCTTGTATGTAAACTTTGTTATAGCTTGTGGGATCCCACGTTTGGGGCTCAATTGATTGAAAATTACAAAAGTCAAGTCTGAGGTTTCCACATAGGTTTCTATGGCACTAACAACACTCCCTCATTCAAGCAACATTTCCTCTACTTTGTGAAGATACGATTGCGATTTACGCTCTGAAAAAAAAAACGATTTTTTTAGCTGAAAGAAAGCTAGTAGTATATTCCATGAAATTGATCACAACCTAGAGACCTTTTTGTGTTATTTTAATGTCGCCAGGCAACTACTACCAATGTTTCAACCTTTCTATGTGCTTAAAAGAGAGAGGGTTGAGTGAGACGCCGCGGGTGGGTGGTCAAGTTGGGACTATTTGGCGCTACATTCCTCCATGAAATTACAGGTGAAATTGATGTCCATTAACTCAGAGCCTAGCTTGCTAGCTACCTTGTACCTTACTTGAGTAAACAAGAAATTTTTCTTTGGTTCTTCTGTTGTCGACTATGAATACATTAGATAGAGTGAACAATGAATTATATAATCCAACCCAATCCAAGAAACTATAGGCAAGAAAACCTCCATTTCCTCCTACCTTAGCAAGCAACATTATTTGTTCTTTTCTTTTCTTTATGATGATGTTTGGGGTAAGAAGAAGAAGAGTAATGAACCAATTTGGCGGTTGATGATCGATGCTAGCAGAAGGGATGATATGCGAGAAGGGTTTTGTTCCATGATTAAGTTGAGCTGATGAGAGTACATCCGTGGCACCTTTTGTCCGCTCTCCTGCAAAGACTTCCAACATTAAGATTTTGCATTCTATTACTTTCTCCGTCCCAAAATGTATACCATGTTTAGATTTTTATTTTTAGTACAAGTTGTACAAGAAATAAAAACTCCAACTGGATAATCATTTCGAGACGGAGAGAGTAAGTCATTACTCAATGATGCAAAAATTATTAGAGATGTTGGGGGTCTTTGGGGAGAACACACAAAGTTTGTCATGCTGCTTCCGTTGAACCAAGGATTTGTATATGCTAAATGTTTCACTATATCGTTCTAATTTCATGGGATTTTACTAGACTTGCAAAATATTTGAATCAAATGAACAAGCATAAATAAGGGGGGGTATGAAGTGAAATATTTTAGGTGCGAGGGTTTTCAGTCTCAATTTCCGTTTTCTAAAAAAACACCAAAAAAAAAAAACAAAAACAAAAACAAAAACAAAAACAAAACAAATATTCATGGCCTGCAGTAACGTAGGGATCTTATCCATGAATCTACTTGATTTTTCTTTTTCTTTTTTTTTCTTTTCATCCCTTATCAAATTTGATCATTCTCCATGGGTAGTTCGTTCAGTCTCCCTCAGTTATCTTCAAACTTTGAAGTGCAATGAATGAATTGAGTGTGCAATTTTTTTGTTGTTGATACTTCATTTCAGTTCCCATGGAAGCAATCACTTTCTTGCAGTACTTCAAACCATCAGCAACGTCATCATTTCTTCAACAATTTCCAGCATCATCATTGTCCAATAAAAAGTTGCTGAATTTCAGCAGCATATCAAGTTCTATTGCAGAGGTCGATGTTGCATTCTTCAGCCATTCTAATTACAACGGTGATAGACCTGATGGTTATGGTGACTCGGGAAAGCAAGAGCTGAATTCACTTGGTGTAGTCAAAGCAGGGCATGCCCAGATCATAAAAATGTCCAAGGAGTGGACATCAGATGACAAAATCCAATCTTTGATCGTTTCTTACTTGGAATTTGGAGATTTCTATTCTGCTTCTGGGCTGTTCTTGTTGGACTATGCCCAGAATTATCTCTGTTGGAACTCATTCCTGGATGAATTCAGCGCTTTTGGTGGGGACCCTTTTGAGATTCTCAAGGTTTTTGGTGATCTGAGTAATAAAGGAGTGAAATTTGACAGCAAAATCCTCACTTTGCTTCTTAAAATTTGTGGGAATTTGATGGATGATTCTTGGTTGGGCTGCGCGGTTCATGCTTGTGTTATTAAGAGAGGCTTGGACTTAGATGTCCATGTAAAATGTGCAATGATGAACTTCTATGGAAAATGTTGGGGCACAGAGATAGCTAATCAAGCCTTCTTTGAAACATCAAATCCTGATTCTTTGTTATGGAATGAAGCTGTTTTGGTAAACTTAAGAAATGAGGAATGGGCTCAAGGTTTGAAACTGTTTGGTGAAATGCAGCATTCGTTTCTAAGCTGCACTACCAAAAGCAAGAAAGTTAACACATTTGTGGTTGCTAAAGTTTTGCATGCTTGTGCAAAATTGGGAGCCATTCATGAAGGAAAACAGATTCATGGGTACGTTATACGTAATTTGCTGCAATCTTCTTCAAATGCATTTATTAGCAATTCGCTGATTAACATGTACATGAAATGTAATGAGCCTGAATTCGCAAGACTAGTTTTTGACTCAATGAATGAGCATGATTTGTCCTCATGGAACTCAATCATATCAGGTTATAGTGCGCTCGGTAATCTGAATGAAGCAATGAGGTTATTTCGCGATATGCAGGAAGATTCAGAAATTAGGCCAGATATAGTTACCTGGAATTGCATTTTGTCAGGACATTTTGCTTCAGGATTTCATCAAGAAGTTTTAAGAATCCTTGAGAAGATGCAAATTGCAAGGTTTAGACCAAACACAGGCACGATAACTGTTGCTCTTCAAGCAGTATCTGAATTAGGATTGTTGAGGTTCGGAAAGGAAATCCACTGCTTTCTCCTGAGAAATGGCCTAGAGCATGATCTTCATGTAGGTACTTCACTGCTTGACATGTATGTAAAGAATGATAAGTTAATTAATGCTCGGACCATTTTTAACAATATGATCAATAGGAACATTTTTGCATGGAATTGCATGATTTCTGGATACGTTTCCAGGGGTTTTCTTGATGAAGCATTAGATCTTTTGGTACACATGAAAAAAGAAGGTCTTCAACCTGATTTAGTCACTTACAATACACTAGTTTCTGGATACGCAAATTCAGGTTTTGTTCAGGAAGCTTTGGCAACGATTCATCAGATTGAACTTTCTGGTTTTACTCCTAATGTCGTGTCATGGACTGCTCTTATATCAGGCTGTACACAGAGTGGATACTTTGAAGATGCACTTAAGTATTCCATTGAGATGCAAAAGGCAGGTCTGAAACCAAACTCGGCAACCCTTGCAAGTTTATTGAGAGCCAGTTCAGGGCTCGCCCTTTTGCAGAAAGGTAAAGAGTTGCACAACATTTGTATTAGAAACGGTTTTTCTGAGGATTTTTTTGTGGCGACAGCACTTATTGACATGTACTGCAAGTGTGGAAGCTTAAAGAGTGGCTACGACGTGTTCAGGAAGATTGAGATCAACAAAAGATCTGTTTCCTGTTGGAATTCCATGATTGGAGGACTGGCAATGTATAGTCGCAGGAGAGAGGCAATTTTGCTCTTTCATCAAATGCTTGAAGCAAATATCAAGCCGGATTCTAGGACATTCACAGCTCTCCTCTCTGGCTGCAAAAATTCTAGCCTCATCGATGAGGGATGGAAATATTTCGATAGTATGAAGATTCATTATGATATAACCCCTACCATAGAGCATTACTCTTGCATGGTTGATTTACTTGGAAAGGCCGGTTATCTTGATGAAGCATGGGATTTGATTCATAAAATGCCAATGAAGCCAGATGCCTCAGTTTGGGGTGCATTTTTAGCATCCTGTCGAAGCCACAAAGATTTAGAACTTGGAAAAATTGCAGCAGAAAAGCTTTTCAAACTAGAACCCTATAATGCAGCTAACTATGTGTTGCTTATGAATTTATATTCAGATGTAAACAGGTGGAGTGATGTGCAACGGATCAAAGATTTGATGGAAGTTAAAGGGATCAAAGTAGGCCCTGTGTGGAGCTGGATCCGAGTCAATAAAATGGTTCATGTATTTTATGCTGTAGGAAAGCCACATCCAGATGAAGGTGAGATTCTTTTTGAGTTGTATCAGCTGATGTCAGAGATGAAGATGAGTCTGGGATATGTTCCAGCTACTGAATGTGTGATCCAAAACATTGACGAGGAGGAAAAGAAGAAGATTCTGCTTCGCCACACAGAAAAATTGGCCATCACGTACGGATTAATCCATTCAAAAAATAATGCAACACCAGTGCGGGTGATCAAGAACTCGAGAACCTGTGCAGACTGTCACACAGTGGCAAAATTTATGTCCAAATTGAGAGGCCGAGATATCATCCTCAGAGATGGAAAAGGTTTTCATCATTTCTCCAACGGCCAATGCTCATGCAATGATTTTGGGTGATGTTTGTTTTTACTCTGATCCAACAAGCTGAGTTTCAGTGAAAACTCCTGGAGAATCAATAAAATAGAGCATGTTGCAGTAGGAAGAAAGTTAATCCAGTAGGTAAATGTTAATGCTGCAGATAGAATATGGCCAGATAGGTAAGATTTCAGAGCGTCCTGATTCAATTCGAGTATCTATCCTTTTCTTTTGGAGTTAGTAATTTTTGTTCATTATTATTCTTTGGTTGAAATGTATAATGTTACACATAGATAATGCAGCACACATAGTGGTTCTTGAACATCATAATTCTGTCTAATGTACAATGTATACAGAATAATTCTCACTAGTCATTAAACAGGAAGGAACCAAGTTTGAGACTTTGCATATCTGCTAAAAAATTTACCCTAATTTAACCAGTAGTTACTGTGTTCAAGTCGTTATATACCTGAAATCATCATCAGCTTGGAAAAGAGAAAAAAGGAAAAAGTGACCTGCTGCTATAATGAGTATTTGACAAAATTCATAAGGTTTAGTTGTGCAGTCACCATTTGGTCTAGTAAATGTAATGTCATAAACTAAATTCATGTTTACAAGGTAGATATTTTTTGTTTCCTACCTTGACAAAAGGCACTGACAGCACAAGGTGGATGGCAAATGATTAACCCTTTGCTCATTAGTGAAAATGGAGTCACTTTTTGCCATTTGTACAATTTTTTGGATGATGTCAAACTACAGCAAGTTACTAACGCGGAATGAAGAAATCTGCCTCAACATGATGAAACCATTAAAAACATAAGTGACCATTCATGAAATGACACTGTAAGCACAACTAAAGATATGACTCAAATGACGAATATAGACCTATAGTAATGGATATAATGCGGCCTTAGTTTGCAGTTATCATGTACTGACTCAAAAATTGAGACTCACATATACGCATTAAAGTTTGGCTCCCAAAAACATTTGGAACCCTGGTAACTTTTGATCCGTAAACACTAAACCATTCGATGCTCAAAACACAACAGGAACCTAAAGGGTAGATGAAGCGCATGGGTTTCAATAACAGCAGCATTCAGGATATTTATCATGCCCTGGTACATTAGTCCTGGTACTTTATCTAAGTGGCCAACAACCACACACTGATGTAATCCTAGAACAATAACAATGCAACCGAAACTGAAAGGTGGAGAGCTTCCATAGTAGGACTACAATTGTTCAGTACAGCACTCCTACATATTTACAGATATTCACAAACATAACCACAGATGATACTACCGACACCCACGCCAAAATTCCAGGGACATATCTAACATAAGCAGAGCAAAAATTTCAAGATCACGCAAGTACAATCGCTGTGAGGGAACTTTTCATGACCTAAAATGGAGGTGTAAATGGCATTGCTCAAGCTCAACCAACCAAATCTGTGCAATCCTTTAACCAGAGCACATGAACAAAGAAAATAAGGCATTCAGATACATTTTCATGTTCTGCTGATTGGCTCTATAGTGCCCTGCATTGCCATCCTCTCCGAAACATCAGCTAGGGATTTGAGGTTGCAGTTGATCAGAGCTTTCACAAAATAGCATGTCTCGTCTTCAGTATTGCCTTCTGGCACATCCACCACAAATTTCTCCGTCACAACAGTTCCTGGTCTGCCGTCAATCATCTCTTGCTGAACAGTAAGAACTGAGGAATAATTCTGCCACAAGAAAATCCAAACATGAGAATGTTAAGTACAAGATATTATACTTATTATGGACTAAATCGTCCGGTCTATCTATCAACCCTTTTCTGCAATTAATGCTCACTTACATGTAAGGTAATTATGTTTATGCTTGAGACAATCAAGAAAGGAAGCAAATGCTAATGCCAAAAAGTGCGGGCAATATGAAACAATCAACTGAACAACAACTGTGTTCAAATATATTAACAAAACTTCGCTAGATGTTTCTACTCATCAGTCTTATTCTTCGATGCCATTGATTTCCAAATAAATACATAAATAGGCTAATTTAATGTATTCATGGGTACAACACCATAACAAAGAGCTCACTAGAAACAGCTCCTGAAAATATGCAGCAAGTTTTGACCATCTTAAGACGGGCCAGAAACACAAAGCCAGGGATGGCATAGCACACAAAATTTTCAAGGTTTCATTACGACTGCAAAAATTACCACAAGAATTAAGCCATCTCAGTATGTGGAGCTTGCTACATGGATCAACCTTAGGCAATAACTAACAAGGGGAAAAGTAAAATGTATAATGCATAGCATTCCTAATTTCTTGAAGAGCCACAGATTTGAAACCACCATAAGAAGCAGGATTAGCAGGGATTACCTTCAGCCTGTGGTCGCCACCAACAATCTTAATCCCAAGAATGTGTTGTTCATCGTCGAGAACTTCCAACATTTCGGTGCTGGTAGTGGCCGGTAGGCCGGATCGCACATTCACCTCTCTGACACTTCCAATCTTAAGATCACCACCCTTCATGATACACTTGCAAACAAAAGGCTTATACTTCTGTGGCTGGTCGAATCTCCTCACCAGAGACCAAACCTGAGAAGGAAAACATTTTTATTCATTTTTTCAAAAACTCAGCCATACAAGGAAATAGTTGCATACTTATTATGTCCAATAACATTTATCAAAAATGGGGATTGATAAACCGTTGACAAGATCAATGCTAAGAAAATCATAAAGCTCACATCACAGTTAAACAAACTCAATCCACCAACATATAAACAGCTATTTTCACACTTAAACACCAAATTTAATCTTTCAAAAACTATGAAAATCTGATCAGAGAAACCAACTTTATACAAACACAAGAAACAATCAAGAAACAACCTTTTGACTCCAATTAAGAATCTTTACCCACTAAATACCAAAAAACCATCTCCCAAAATATAAAATCTGAACCGAACAGTCCCATTTTGCGAGAAACACGATAATAAAAAAAACTTTGATTGACACCACCAAACAAGAGAAAAACAAGTGAAGGGAAAAAAAAAAAAAAACAAAGAAGCAGAGAGGAAGAACTTCAATTACAATATCAAGAGGGGCCTTGATGTGTTTGACAACAGAAGAAGAACATTGACGCCCTGTTGTAAGCTCTGTTCCTGCGGATGCTGCCTCCATTGATGATGATGATGATTCTTTCACCAAAAAAACCATTAGAAATCGAAAAATTCTTTTGTTGTTCTTTTCTTTCTTTCAAATAAAACAGCTAAGTTCAAAGAAAAAAATCCAAGCTTTATTGAAGTAAGATCTTGAGCTTCAGATGAGTTTGAAGATGATGAAAAGGTGAGGGTTATAGTAGAGAGAGTAGAAACAGAGAAAGGAAGGTGTTCTTCCTCTTGCTTCTCTTCTAGCTTGACTTGGAAGTGGCTCCAATGAATGGTGTGAATGAAGTTTTTATTTTATCAAGAGGACAAACTACAAAAGAAATTAAAAGAAAGAAAAGATCTTTATCTACTCCAAATGGAGGGTCCAATAGCCTTATTAATCATATAAAACAACATCATTTTTATTATTGACATCCAAACTTTTAAGTTACTCTTACCTGGTCAAATCATGCATTTTAATGGCTTTTGTTGTTTTATTTTTTACCCAAAAAAAATAATAAAAATTTGATCATGAGAATTTGTTGGGGTGTAATATTGTGCAGAATAGTAACAATCCTTGTTTTATTCATAAATGAAATGAAACTTACTGCATAGGAATAAAAGCGTGGGAAATGAAGGGAAGGTCTTCAACTCAGCCGTCCAGCCAATAAGATGTCAAGAACCACAAAGGCACAAACCTACCCCTCCACCCCCCATTGGCTCATTGGGCCCTCCTTTTCATTTCTTTTCTTTTTATAAATAATCATTTCATTTTATCATTTTGATTTCTTGTGGGTGACACTCTCACTTCATTTGCATCCCAAGTCGGCTATAAGCACACATTTTATTTTTTTGAATTGATTGCATTTGCTCCCTTTGAGTTTTCTTATGTTATCACCCCCCCAACATATACTTTCTCCCATCATTGTTATTAGCCATTTTGATTTGTCATAAATTTCATTTATCGTGTCTTTTTTTTCAAATTTTTAAAGTTTTATTTTCAATCAGAAAAACACAATAAATAAAATTCAGAAAGAAAATTAAATAATAGTCTAATAGTTAAGATGATGTGCTTTCTGGGAATAGATCGGGTTCAAGATTAAATATTCTTGCAACTTTTACAATCAGCAGGTTTGCCCTTTTCAAAGGCAAACTCATTAGTAGTCTTTTTATCTAAAATGTAGCTTCATGTAGAATAATCCAAATTAATATAAAAAAGGGCTTTTGAATTAATTAGGTACATGACTTTTGAGCCTAGAAGCAGCTGTAATAAAACAATTTTTTTTTATTTATATCAATACATTCCCCCTTGTCCAAAAGCACAAAAGTGCATATCAAAATTACTATTCCAGATTCCACAATTTCCCCACAACCATCATTTTGTGATTTGGAGATATTTTCTGGTTTCCAAATGTGCATCTTCCATGTCAGATGCATCTAAGATAACTGTGTTCAAACTGTGAGATTATTTTATCATAAGATTGAAGATTCGATTCTCGCTAAACAATTAAATTTAACGTAACTTATAATTATATGGCAACTTGGTGGACTTAAAAAAATAGAAGGTACCTAGCATATGACAATTAGTGCCACTAGCCATTAGTACCTGGGGGGTATATGGTACAATGATTTATCCCACCATATGACAAAGATACTGGTTTCTGGAAAGGACTTCACCATTCTTTTTTCCTTTTTCTTTTTTGCTGTGGAAGGAAGGATCTCTTTTTCAGAACAACTTCCATATTCGATTTTACTGTTTACCTCTTAACTGTTTAGAGTTTACTTTGAGATGCAACGGATCACACTTTCTCTGACACACATCATAATGTGCGTTCGGAACTATAAGTCCAAGATAGAGTATTATTGTAAAATTGATAAATCTCCATAATTCCATTAGAATACAAACTGATCGAGTTATTACTCTCTCTGTCCCAAAATTATTGTCTAGTTTGAGATTTCACTTTTAGTACAATTTGAACTAAAAATAAAAACTCAAAGTGGACAATAATTATGGGACGGAGGGAGTATTTTTTTTGACGCGTCTGGATTAATAGAGCCGGAAATCAAGACTGGCCCGAGTTGGTTAAGCGGTTCAACCGACTTTTTAGAAAGTTTTTAGCTCAATTTATGTTACTTTTCTATCGAAAAAGGGTTTCAGTAACCCTATAACTATAAATAATTGCGGGTGTATGAATTTTTACTTTTAGTTAGAATGGATCCGTCTGATAATTTAAGTGAAGTGAAGTGAAGGTGCAGAATATATAGATGCATGTGGAAGCAAAGCAATAGTGTTCATCTTTTGCGAAACAAGAATATATGCTTCTCCCAATACGTATGAAACATCCATCCTATTCTGAATTTCGATATGTACCGTTGGTGTGTTGCTAAGTTACTACTAATGGAATCACCCATCCACCATTACTTTCATTGTTCATCGATTTTTCTTACCCTTTTCCCCTTTTTGGTTTAGGGTTTCTCAAACTTTAATATCCCCCCACACAATTTGTTTGCCAGACATTATTAATTCTACTTTTCTTTTCATTTATTTTACATGCACAAAACAGAAAAGAAAAAGAATGTTGTGACTCTCTTTCGTGTCACTACACTACTGGGTGGATGTGGGTTATTTTGCATCAACTTTTTTCCGCCTTCAAGCTTAAGGGGCCATTTTGCATGATCTTAATCAATATAGTACATCGTTGGAGTTAAAACTCATTCATTTTGCTTTGGTCCAAACAACCTTACCTTTTCTTTTTTTTTTTAAAAAAAAAATAATAATAAAATTTATTTTGACATATATTTGGCAATTTTCGCACTTTTACCTCCTTCCTCCTAATAATTAAATTTATAACTCAAGACATAACTCTATCTGGTAATGGGTTTGTTTCAAAACGAATCCATCCAATTCATGCGTTTACTTCCACATCAACCTCACAACTCATTTTTGGCATTGCTATCCTTTTGGTCATTTTCGTGTACGAACTGTCTTAAATATTTTAGAGGATTAAGTTCCCAATAATCGTGCATGTCTTGTAATTAGTCACATATCTGAACCAATAATAATGTCATAGCTAGTCGGATAAGGTATAACACTAATTATAGTAACTTAAAATGTACTTGCAACTTAATCCTATTATTATTATTACAACACAATAGGTAAAGTTTTAAGTTTGGAAATAATAGCTCAAGTGGTAACGCCAATATTGGTAACAAACCTCTACTAAAAATTGTGGCTAAATCAAAGTGGCATAATCTGGTCCGATGAATCCTGCTCATGCTATGGTCCATTTGATGGTTGATGGTTCTACTTCTACTGCGCCCACACACACACAGAAAAGTGAGAACCAAAACAACAGTTCCTAGAATCTGGCTTTAAACTGTTGCTTTCCTGAATGCGTTGTTGCACTCACATTGGCTAACAGAAACTTACCTTAAACTTACACTGCACAAAATAACAAAACATATTTTGGGGATCCCAATAAAATAGGGAGGTAGTTGGTTATTATGGTTATCTTCTTATCATCTTTTTTTTTTTTTTACTCTCCATTTCTCATCCTGCCCTTTTCTTTTCTTTTTTTTTTTGTAATACCCTTTATGTGTGAGGGTGTGGGATTTGATTGACAACCAATTGGAGGCCAAAATAGTGTTAGGATTATTGATGAAGTCGCCGGGGGGGTGGTGGTGGTCATGTGATCAGCAAATTGGGAGCATATGCTTTTTCTGACAGTGAAAGTGTCCTTATCCTTCCATTATTGATGTTTCATAGTATATGGAATGGACGGTTGGATTACAATAATCAAGGGTGGCTAAACTACTATTCATCGTCTACTAACTGAAAACCTTGTAACTCATGTGCTATATTTACTTGGGAGATTTAAGTCCCAACTTTAAATTTTGTCATCCCATAATAATAGTAACTAATAGTACTCTCTCCGGTCTTTATTTAATATAAGATATTTTGATTTGTCTTGCGTTTCATCTAGTATATATTTTTAATTAAACAAAAAATTTTAAAAACATATTTTTACATTCGTTGTGTTCTCCTAATTGTTAGAAAATATTTTTTTAAGAATTTTTTGTCAATTAAAAATGCGTATTAAGTGAAAGTTATGAAAAATCAAAATGCCTTATGTTAAGAACAGGAGAGAGTATTAACATACAGTATTCAAGAAAAAAAATAAAAATACAGTACAACAGTATTCTTTTCTATTTGTGTCGGTTAACTCAATTTAAATGATATTTTTGCAAGAAATGGGAGTGAGGATAATATTTACCGAGGAAGCAAATCGGGATGATAATGTGAAAGAAGAGGCCAGTTTGAGGGAGGCATCCTCCATTGGGCTTCCCCAAAATATGTTCTTGTGTTGGAGTGATCCTGAGTGGAAATGAAGCCCAAAGATTAGATCTGATTTGAAATGGATCCTTGTTCACAATCCTCCATTCATACATTAGCTTCTCTGTTCCATGTTTGTTACCCCTTCTCCTCCCATACTTGATTTTCCACCATCAATATGTATGCGCTTGTTTTCATTTTTTTCTTTTTTTTGGCTTCTAGCTCGTATACCCACAATTAAGTTCCATTTTTAATAGGGTGTTATCTTTCTTTTTGAGTTCATCTTAATTATATTAGCAAAATGAATCTATAAATTTTTGCCTCAAACACGTGATTAACGAATTTTAGAACGAAATGATCTTTTTGAAAAAAAAAAATTTCATTAAATTTGCTGGAAATAACACCAGAAATTTGGTTGAGATGAGTAACTTATTACATCGGTTACATTTAACTTTACATGTGCAGCAATGATATATGTATGAGTTACATCATTTTTCCAAGATTTTTTGATGGATCGATGTGGCTACGAGACAATGCGTACAATCCCTTTTTTTTTTTTTTTGTTTTTGTTTTTTGGGGGTTACAAAGCATACAATTAATCTAACCGAACTAGTTGCACCAATTATTCTCGTCTTTCATCCTCTAATTGAATCCTGATTACTTCAAATGCACGTTAGCTACTCCAAAGGGACTAAACCACTAGGGTGTGATAATTCTAAGTACAAAATCCTTTTGTTTTTCTTTGCCGTAAAAATACCCGAAGCCACCTTATGTACTTATTCCCTCTGCCTTCAAAACACAGTTTTGTTTGTTTATTGTTTTCAAAAACATCATTTTGCCGTAATTAATTACATCATTTTCAAAAACATGATTTGTATTCAAAACTAACTTCTCTTAACTACGTACCCGCAAACCATGTTAAGTTTATTTTCTTGTCGCTTCATTTTAAAATTTCTTTGTTACGAATAAGCAGTCGAACATTCCTGCGTGCGTGGATGGTGCCCTAATTTTTCACTTTCGAAAAACCCGACCCGATCGTTACGTATATTCTCTTTGTGGTTATATGTTCTAGGAAACTAATCCAACATCCTCGTGTAAAATTCGGCTACCCGAAAGAGAGTACATATTAATCTTGTGCGTTGGATATTTAACCAAATGCCAGTGATGTCCCGTTACACATTTTTTTTTTTATATATATATATACATATATATAATTTTCTTGTAGTTGTCCAGCTTTGATTTTGGTTGAGTATTAATATTAATTAGGTGATCAAACAAATTAATTAGGAACTCAAATAGTATTCCCTTTTTTTCAGGAAATTTTAAATCAAAATGAACTTAAAAGTTTTTCAGTCATACAAATAAGATTTGGGTTATACAGGCTAGCTAGACCTATCTGTAAGACACAGAAACAACGACCACGATACTCGTAGGTTATTTATCTCTTTTTTGCCTTGTTATTCTCCGAGATGAA